AACGAAATTGGGAAAAAAAAGTTTTGGCTTTGTACTTAACCATTTTTATACAAAAAAAAGGAGAAAGCCAAAACCCTTCTCAAGAATTTAATTCTTGAAAATTTGTCTATTCATAATTGAATGCTGATCCTGAAGGGCGATAATCCGTGGATGGAAAAATTCTTAATTTAATACTTTGGCTTTTTTTCAATGTTAGTACTTGCAAAGTACGCATGAATTTTTTTTCGTGGTAAAGGTTTTCTTAATGTTCACCAGTAATATTCCAGTTAACACGTCCTGCCATATTCTTATCATGATCAATTCTTTGTAATTACCTATTATTTTTTCATGGTCTCGTGAGTGTTTTCGTTCGGCAAACTGTTTTTGAGGTAGAAAATAAAACGCATTAATTTGCTCTCCTTGTGCAAAATCAGCTTGAACTGTACTAAGATTATTATGAGGACAAAAGTATATTTCAATTCGAGATTCAGTTTATATAAACAATGATCAGTGCGTGATCGCCCCTAGGCTTGCTGCAATATACAATGGTATTGGTCAAACGACCATAAACTGCTACTGGTCTTGCTGCCGAAGAAAAATCAGCTGATTTTGATTAATTCATCTGTGCTGATTCCAAAAATACAAACAAACCTTTTCATTGTATCAGCCCTAGTTTTCGAGATATAACATACTCGTCAAATACTTTAAATTCCTATAAAGTCGACTGCATTCCATTGTAATTCAGTCTGAACTTGAGTTTCGTTGCAAGAGTTTGTTTGTGATAACTGAAATTCATGGCTTCTACAAGCAGACGTTGTTGTGTGAATAAGTAGAAAACCAGTTTGTGATTTTATAAAAAGAGCATATCAAGCCTATTTTGGTGTTCATTTAGAAGATTAAGATAAATCCTGGGTGCCACATATAGTGTGCAAAACTTGCCTTGACACTTGACAGTGGACGAAAGGACAACGAAAATGTTTAAATTTTGGTGTTCCAATGGTATGGAGGGAACCAAAAAATCATTTCAACGATTGCTATTTCTGTCTTGTGAATATAATAATAACAATCGACATACGTGTACATATCCTAACCTGGATTCAGCAATAAGACCAATTCCACATCAGCTTGAGTAGATACCCATTCCTATACTTAGCAGCCTACCTAGGTTACCAGAGGATAATGTCGAAACGTTATCTGACGAACTACAGACTAATAGAGTTGAGGAAGACGACAGTGATTTCGAAGGGGATTCAACACGTCCTGAGCGCTTTACTCAGGAAGAGCTAAGCGATCTTATTAGAAACTTGAACTTTCCAAAGGATTCTTCATTACATTACATAGTTAGTTTTTGGTATTGTTATCCATTAAAAAACTTAGTATTTCATCTTTCCTCGAATTTTCATTCGGTACTTTGATGAGCTGTCGGGAATGATAGGAAGCATTGTCAAGAACTATTACATTATTCACATCCAAATTTGGGACCATCTCATCCAAATTTGGGACCATCCCATCCTTTACTTCCTCCGCAATGCACAATGATTAGTCGCGATCCTTTGTTTGCAGGCATGTTAGGCGTACACATTCTCGAACCATCAGTCCACCCTTTCGTAATTGTGTCATGAGTGTCAAACCAAGTTTCGTCCAAATAGAAAATTTGCCGTTGTTCTTGTCTATATTTAGTTATTTGTTTCAAGTATTTGTTGCGCAATTCCACTATGCTTCTGCTTTCCATAACTGCTTGACATTTGTTTATTATTTTAAATTTAAATCCTAGTTTCTTTATCCAATTCTGAAGAGTTTTGTCACAGTAGCTCACGTTATGGCCGGAAGTATTCAATTTCTTCCTTATGATTTCAATTGTAGGAATCTCATTGCTTTTGTAACAGTCGTATGTTGTTTTTTTTAATGATTTTATTAGGTGAACATTTAAAGGTTGTGGTAATCGCGTCTTGCGTTTATAAGGTTTGTTTTTGACTATTTTACGTACAATTGAGAAAGGAATTTCGGTCAAATCTGATGTTGCTTAAAATAGTTTTTTTTTCCCTCGAAACCAAACTTGATATGTAGATTCTTATATACATTGAAACATACTCTCTGTGTTTCAATATTCAAATGCATCCGAATCTTATTGGTATCTCTTTTTCGCATTGTCCACCAGCACTATTGGAATCACTACACAGGAAAAAGTCTGCGTTTTTATCACACTCGTTATTACTATTAGTACTTGTCCAAGGACGCCACATTTTAAACAAATAACAAAAATTTTGAGTAATTATAACTTCACCAATATCGAATTTTTGACTTCATTCAAAGTATCTTCATAAGATACTTTGACTGAACCACATGGCCTCAATCCAAAAATGTATTTTCTTGGCTATAAGCCTATTTTGTTTTATATAATTCAAATATTACAATGTACAATTCACTTATCTTGATACTTCCTGTTGCCTGACAAGTGAGCACTGATGATGTCGAAAGCTACTGTGCTAGCGAAACATGTTGTGATTGTATTTTTTCAAATCGTGTCAATAAAAAAACGAATGTAATGTGTACTCTGTATTTTGTTATGTTACCCAAGGTTTATGTGATCCAGCACCCTTTATCTGTGTGGCCATCTTATGCAGGTTATGTGTGATCTGACCCCAGGAAAATAAAGATCTCTATACACAACCAATTCAAACTTAGGAAGAATTGCGAAACTGCGTAATAGTTCCCTGCATAATAGTTTGTGAGTCTATGAGAAGGAGAACTGGAACTTGTATACTTGCATGAAGGAGACATTTTGAACAGTTAATTCAATTTGGGTATTGTTTGTTCGTAATAGTTTTGGTTTTTAAAATCAATGGGTACCCAATACAAAAAATAAACAATTTAAAGCAGTATACAAATGATAATGGTTGCCACAATTATTGAGAATAAGAGAAAAAATCGAATAGAGACAAGCAAATGAATACATTTCATTTTCTATCTCAACAACCATTCAACTGACAAAACAAAGGCAGAAGAACATTTTTATGAACAGAGGAAAATTACAAAAATAATATTCATTTGGAAAAGAGCGGTGGCGTATCATGATTTTGATAAAATATATAGCAGGGCATGTTAACAGGGACGCCACTGATGAACATTAAGAAAACCTTTGCTATGGGAAAAAAATGTATATGTAAAAAAATGCTAAAACAGTTTCAGAGATATTGGGGGAGAAATGATGATTTCGTATAATATCAATATTCTGTATCTTGGAAATTTAGTGCAGGGTACCTAATCACTATGTCTTACAACTGGTACAACAAATAAGTTTTCATATTAGGTTCTTTCCTCAAATTCTTGAATATGTTGTCAGCTATTCAGTTTGTTTTTAGTTCAGCCCAATATCACTGATGATACTTGTCAGGTCAATATACCACTATACGGTGTTGCATCACTAGTGCTTTGGTACAACACGGTTTGTGATGTTTATATTATTTATCTGCCACAGGGTAAAGGTCTTTTAAATTTTCCTTTTCTACATGTATTACTTGAAACTGATTTTTATGTCAACTTTCATTGACCATACTACTTTTTTTGTACACTTACCAAGCTTTTTGTAACTTTATGTCTTCAATTTCTATAATTTTTCCCAACATTGTAAAAAATTATCGGGGTGAACAAAACACATTTAGTAAATTTTACGTGCCAAATTAAAAAAAATATGACTGGACCATAGATTAATTAAATGTATATCAAATATGGTCGATACAACTGCTGCTATCTGGAAGTGATTGTTCTACTAGTTTCCAATGAAATAGCTATCGGCATATTTATGAAAATGTTAGGAATGGCACATAGACTCTATTTGGAACAAAATCTTAGATTCTAAACCTGGCACATAGACTGATCAAAATTTACATTCTTTATTTAATTCATTTCATAATATATATTACTCATTACTCAAATAACTCGGTCAACCTTTATAAAGTACTCTTTCATCCATGTCCATAATAGGTGTAGCATTTTCAGTTATATAGAAAATTACCCAAATGATTCTGCAGTTCACTTCGAATAAAATTGTCTAAGGCCATGATCACAGAAAAATATTTGTTTGCTTTCATGAACTCAGTGGAAATCAAATCAGTCCTTCACACACGCTTTATAGACGTATTTTAATAATATTTACCTTTATATTTGTTTAAACTGCTTTTAACATACTTGTAAGGCATCAATGAAGTATTCTACTGACATTAATGAATGTAGAAAACATGAGTCCATCGAACTCTGATGTAATCAGTTTTAAGCTGTTGACAAACTGTGGACTCAATGGAAATATTAATGGCTTGATTTATTTATTAGTTCCATAAGTAATACTCTTGTCAACTGAAATATATTTTCAATTACATCAAATAAATCGACATTATTAATAAGAATAAAACTGTAAATACTATTTTTTTTATATGTTTTTAGATAGTAAACAAATGCTGATACCTAACCTCTCATCAGCTCACTTTTTTTCCTTTTTGCGGACGCCCATGACGTTTTAACCACCTTTTTAATTGTTCACAATTATGAGCCTCAACTGAATTATTAACGAGTGAAGCACCATCAATGGTTTTTTCCAATAATTTATTTATTTGTTGAGATGATATTCCTTGCCCAGCCATTGTTGATTAAAACAGTACGAATGTTTTGAATTACCGCCATTTCAATATGACAGCTACGCTTGCGCTCGTCTTATGATGAAAAGGTCTATTAGAGAGCCTTAAGGATTATCCTGCGTTACTTGTGGATCTCTATTGAAAATACATACAGTATACATCAAATATAACAGTTGATATAACTATTATATTTGTTGTATCCAAAATGATGAATAAACATTACTATTATGGTCGATGCAACTAAGAAAAAGTATTTCTGAATTTTTGAAATGGGCATTTATTATAGAGAAAATTAATAAAAACAAAAGTCCAGTATGAAAACAATATAACAATATAAACCAACAACTTCCTCCATTTCAATTAACTTGATTTAAAAATCACTATAAAATATTTAACTTTTTCAAACATTTATATACAGATCTGTGTTCTACAAACATATAATTTTTTTTTACATAAAGAACTAAAAGCAATCACACTTATTCCTACAAAAAGTATTGAAAGATATCGTAACAGTGATCATGATGGAACCCGAGTTATTTTTCATATTCAAAATAAATGGGTTTTTATTATATACTACGTTCATCACTAGTATTTGTTATTAGAAAGTGATAATGCAGAACATGAACCGAGATTCACCATAAACACCTGATAAACTTTATAATTTGTGAAACTAATAATTCATTCCTAACCGATATTTCACTTTGATTGATGTTCTATAACCAATTTCTCAGCAGTGTATAACTGGCCTACAATCACCTGTAACAAAAAAAATAATAGCAATCATTCTTTGGTTTTTAGAATTTTTTTAAGAAATAAACGTTTGCCAAAATACTCATCTGGCTCTGTACTTCTACAATAATGTATAATAATAGTGAACCTTCAGACCAAATTAAATCCCAAGAAGAAATTTTTCAGAAGGATCATGTTTCCAATTTTTTAGAACACCCCAAACTTCTTCAGAAACACCATTGAACCTTAGATCAAGGAAATATTATTAGTTATGATGAAAAGACCGCTATCTTGGATGTTTCCTTAACCTTTCGGCACTGCCGCGCGGACTCGGACTCCGAAGCGCCCGAGAATTCCTAATTATTTGGAATTCCCCCACTAGCTGACCCTCTCCGTCTCAATAATCCTCAAGCTAAATTCCACGACCATCAGTGTGTCGCCAGGTGAGCACAGGTGTGTTGAGTTATAAATTATAGTTTTTGCGGAGTGACAGTCCGCGGCAGTAACGCATTCTAATTTCAATATTCAATTTTTTAGTTGCATTTTCGAGTAAAAGAAAGGTATTTTAAAGATTTTCTTTAGTTTTGAAGTTCATTTTACAGATGGGTAGCTACAAGAAGGAATTAGAAAGGTTAAACAAACTGATAGAGTGTTTAGAAGAGGAATCAGATGAAGAGAAAGTAAAGGATTCGGTTGACGATTTGGAAGAAGATAACATAGATGTACAGGAAGAAAACTCAGACACAGAAAAGGAAATATCCGATACCGAAATAGGACCAATGGCTAATCTACCATACTTTCTTGGAAAAGATAAAAAAGCAAAATGGTCAAAATGTGCCCCTCCTTCATCCACAACACGTGCAGAGAATTTGGCAATTCATCTCCCGGGACCAAATATAGCTGTTAGTGACTTGAAGTCTGCTATAAATATATGGAAGTATTTCTTTGATTTGGAGATTATAACACAAGTTGTACGCTATACTAACCAACATTTCGACAAGCAAAGACCCAAATTTGGCGACAGATTGTTGTGAGAGCCAGGCACAAATGTTTCTGAGATGCATCGTTTTATTGGGCTGCTATATATAGCTGGCGTGTTGAAGTCTGATCGGGTCAACATTGATGAGTTATGGAATAATAATGGAATTGGAGTAGAAAGTTTTCGGATTGGTATGTCAAAATTTCGTTTTTATTTCTTACTTCAGAATTTGCGATTTGACGATATGGATACCAGAAGGGAAAGACATGAAGTTGATAAATTGGCCCCAATTAGATCAATATTTGTTTTGTTCGTTGAAAAATGCGAATATGCATACACACCTTTTGAGAATGTCACTATATATGAAAAGTTGGAGGCATTTCGCGGGAGATGTGGCTTTTGCCAATACATTCCGAATAAGCCCAACAAGTATGGCCTAAAAGTAAATGCACTAGATAAGATGTGTGCAGCTCACGACTGCGCCAGGAGGATCCACATATGAAATCAGAAGTAAAACATTTTTGTAACTCCATTTTTCAAAGATTTTATTAAAAAGCACATTTGAGATATAAAGATCATAAGTTGGCTTAATCAAACATTAGTCAGTTGGTACCTTCACTATGTTCTTTGGAGGAGATACTTCAATTTTGTTGTGAAAATTCCTATACAACATTTCTGTTTAATTTTGTAACACTGCCAACAGAAACAATGAAAGAGTCTCTTATAAAAGTGTATGAACAATTATAATGTAGTTTGCTAGATTATTGAGAAATTCCTGAAATAATGGATTTTTTGGAAGTATTCGCGAAAGTTGACCAGAGCACTAAATTTTGTCTTCAGCTTTGTGATGAACAGAAGAAAATACTCAAATCGATTCAAAATGATTGATAAACTATTGGGAGCTGTTAGAATGAATATTTATCGCATTCTGAACAAATGGTAGTCTGTCGATTGGTCAGCAAATCCTGCTTGTTTAATTTCTTTCCTTGAACGTTTTCTTCGTTATATATTATTGGAGAAGTAGAAACCAAAAAAGGTTTACTCAATTTCTCTCACTTACTTGTCTTCGAATGACCTCCAAGTTTGTTTCAGCCTCCTCAACTTTCAATCGTAAAGCATCTGAATTTGATAAATATTTATTTGCTCTAAATCCATCCCGAACCCTTCGGATGGCATATTTCCTAGGAACAGTTTTGCTTTCATTAATAAATGGGGTGAATTAGAAATGATAGCCCTACCTGAAATTATAAGCAGGAATTTTTTGGGACTCTTTCAGCATTGCTTTATATAATCTTAAAATTATAGTTTTAGTTGCCATTATGTCTACAATTTACTATTCTACTGTGATAAATTTATTTTTCACTTCAAGATTTCAAAATTATCAGAGGTTATGGAAGAATTTACTTCCTCTTATTCTTATAATGACCTGAGCTGCTGGGGGATCCGACCAGAAAGCTGATTGTTCAGGAATCATGTGAGGTCACATGAGGTGAGGTGAGTTTTCATATAAAAAAATTACGATTTCAACCATGAATAATTTTCAATAATGAAACAATTTATTCTAGTAATGATGAATTGTGAATAATAATAGAAAAATTGCTCCATTTTCCTATCTCCCCATCAACAATGATAATAAAAAATCCTTAAAAAGCATCGGATATTCATTTTGACAACTGAAAGACCCTCTGTGAAAAATTGTAACTAAGGAAAGTAACGATCCGTATGTTTCCAAGATACTGTCAGAGGTACGTTTTTTAGTAATTCTAAAAATTCGACGATTCACCCTTGTTAGAGCCCGGAAAGAATGTCAACGTAGGAGTGCAAATTTAAACAAGAAAAATTAGGAGGGCTTGCGGCTCCCTACACCGGTATCTAGACCGGACGTCAACGAATTCGACAAAGTTGTCAGTGACAAAATAAGTCTCAATAGCAATACAAGAAAAGTAAAAATCATAGTGAAAAAGTTGTAAAATTAAAAAATATAACAGGAGCATAGTAATACGTAGAGCAAGGCTTTTTTGCTCCCCAGACAACGTTCTCATTGAGAAGAGTATCGCTCATAATAGCGCCAAAAGGAAGCTGGGAACAATAATTGAATAAGACAGTAAGCAAGTGAATGCGTTTAATATAGGTCATATAAAATTGTTTCCTGGCGTTGAAAATATAATCGATTGAAATATTTCGGGATTTTTTTTAACCGTTTTCCACTTATGTAATTCAAATTCAACCTCTATTTTCACATGCTGCTATCAATAAAGTGAAGGGGACCATTACCTCTGGCGACAAAGCAAAACTTATTAAAAAAAAGGGAATTCTCTAGATATTTGTCAATATAATAATGCAAATATTCCATATTTTCATGACTAAAATGATCTCTGTTGAATTGTTTTCTACAGAAACACATACATTTGCCAATTAGATGAACGATTCTGAGTTTAATAGTTCATTTTCGGATCTTCTGGAAAGATATACACACAATTTTTAAAATATAGTTACTATTCTGGCTCACTGGAAAATAAATTTTAAATACCCAGTCATCATACCTAAAGAAATGATTTTCTAGTTTGATTTCAACAATAATAATTGAAGGATACAAGGAATATTCAAAGTTTGTGGTCCGTTGGTTGCCGGTTGGTTCGACGTGGGTGCTTTGTTCACTCACTCGAATCAACCGCCGTGTTGGTCGTTGGTTCGAGACCCAGGCTGAACGATCGATTTTTACTGTCATCCAACCCGTGTTAGGAATTACACGTTATAATTATAATAATAATAAATATGCTTTATTGTCCAAAGAAAAGTTCTTATTGACAAAGCTTTGGTGAACATTTTGAGAAAGAAAAAACATTGTCAAGTGCATGAAATCAGAATATAAGCTAGTAGATTGATAAAAATATCTAGAGTCCTACCATAAATATAAAAATAAAAATTTTGAAAGTCGCATTTTCAAAAAGGAAATACCTCGTTAATCTTTAGCTCGCACGAGTTTCCACTTCTGAGGGTTGTTGTTCATAGGGGTGCGACAACTGGTTAACGGAAAAACATATTTTAAACAGATAAACAGATAGTTTCTTATGACAATCGATAGTTCCCTGAGTTTGATGTTTTAATTATAATAACTAGGTGTCGTTCACACGCTGTCCTCTCGAATAAAAAACTGTATTTATTAGCTTACATAATTAGTCATAGATGTCGCATTGAAATATAACTCAAGTCAGCTTATTAAATGTCAAAAAATTCATGAACAAGTGAACCAGATAGTTCGACAAGTGGGTTGATGGATTTTGATTTTTGTGTCGATTTCGGATTTTTTTTAGTATAATGAAGTGGAATATTTTCCAATTGAAATGATTTGAAACCAAAATATACATTGTTGTCGCTTTTGTAAAATGATTTATCACCTACCTTCTGGTTGACTACTCAAAATTTTGATCATGAATGGAATTACTTTAATAGAAGAAGGGTCAGTGGTTGATCATAGACCAAAAATAACATGTAAGTTACAGGTCATCAGGTCAAACTGTTTTATTGAATTTACAATATTACAGGTGCTGGAGAAATAGAAGTGTTCTCTAGGATAGAAGACAATCTGTCAGAGTCTTTACCAAAAGACACTTGCGAGTGGAGAAGGACACTGGGTAGGCCAGTTAGATCAGTGCATATCGGAGCAACTTTCGTCCCCTATAGCCCGGAGGCGTTGCCTAAAGGAAACCAGTGGGATCTAATAAAGCAGCCTTTGTTTCACATTTATTGGACTGATTGCACGGTTTGTCATTCGCAATAATCTTGGGTAGATAACGGCTCATGCGTTTTCCATAGAGAATTCAATTAGACCTCTGTGTTTTCGTCTGTAGATCACAAACCTGAGATCAAAACTCCAAAGGCGAACCTATCAAAAATAACTATTTAAGCCATTTCTATACTGTTTTCACAGCATAACAACCTAAAAGTTGTTAGTCTTGTGCAGTCTTGTTCTATTACAATCAGTATCTTTTGTCAGGTTTGTGAGGGCCTTCATACTGTTGACTTTATTCCTGACGTTTTAATAGCATGCATGGCTACCAAATCGTCAGAGAGAAATTCTATAGTATGACAGCTTTCTACCCATTTTTGGAATAATGTTCGAAGTAATATCATTAATTTACTTCTTGTCAATTCAATCTTCTTTCAAACGAAACCTTTCACAATTCATAAACCTAAAATTGATTGTGGAGGGCACATTTAGGATGACAAAAAAGAAGATACCACTTCTTATTTTTTGATATTCATATAAATTTGATCTCATATTTATTTGAAGCATAATCAACAAAAAAATCCCTTGAGAAAGTGTCGGTTATAATAAACAATTGTGATGTAGTTTATTGTGTTTTGAGTAAATTTATTGTTTTGTGTGGAAAAAATTGAAGTGACATGCGAGTAAGGGTTTGCAGCATGCGATTGTTAAAAGGTGACTTTTAACAATTTTTTAGTGAGTTCCTGAAATAGATTTTTTGACGTTTGAGTGGCCATATTTCCAAAAGATTTGACTTCATATTACTTAATGATGAGCAGACAAAAATAAGTAGGTCTAATTAAAAATTGTTTTCAAAATATGATGATCCAAAAAAAATATTTACCCAATAATGTGAAAAATTCTCATGTTGATGTGATTTTCAGGATGTTGATATTTACAAAAATTCTGTCAAAGAAGACATAGAAATCTGGCTCAAAGAACTTTCTGCCAAAGATATTAATGACTGGTTGATTGTTGTAGTGGAGAATTTTGATGGGAAAAGGTCTAATAAATTACTGCCAAGGACAACTGTCCTGGATAAAATCAGGGCTGATTTCGCCCCTAAGCAAGGCAAGTGGACTCATAATAAAAGCGAAAATTCTCTAAAACTTTATTTGTTATCACTTAATAGACAGTAAGAGCTCTGGCATAAATTATGAATATTACTGGAGTTCTATCCCAACACCAAACCATTATTTTAAACACCTTGACTTGTGTTTCAATCACCAAGAGGAAGATTAAACTAAATTACATACAATATTATCCTTATTTATACCATAGATACTTCTGCTAGGTATCTGCATCGATTAGTTAAACACGTTAACAACAGGCATCTTGATGCCTATGAGAGAGCTTAGAAATGAGTCAACATTATCAGATTTACCTGACTAGTAGATAAGGCAACATTGTGAAGTTAATTTTAAGACCATTAAGATGCAGGTACTTAGCGGAGATCTAGCAGAGCAGAGTATCTATGGTATAAATAAGGACAACATTGTATGTAGATTTAGATTAATCTTTTTCTTGAATATGATCACTTGATGATTGAAACACGTGTCAAGATGTTGAAGATGAAGGTTTGGTGATGGGATAGAACTTCAGTAATATTCATTATTACACCAAAGGTTCCAAACAGTGCATCACAAGTAAATAAATTATAATGGTTTTGAAATAACTGTAAATTATAGTTTATTCCAGGTTGAAGAACGAAATTTTATGGAGGTATATCAGAAACTTAGAAAACTATTTATGCATTGCAGAAATTCTCCACCAAAACATTCTATCTTAGAAAGTAATAAGTTTTGATAAACTTCATCAAATACCTTTTAGAAATCTGTATATGTGGAGTGAGTTTGATACCCCTTTCCAAAATTAGTCAAGATGTCCCTTTGGTAAATTAGTAAATTAAAAGTAAAGGTGATGGCATCTCCTCCTACGAAGATGTCTTCTATGGGAATGACAGAAGACTCAATCCTCGAATATCAATGATAAAATTACCTCTACAAAGAGGTCTGTTGCAAAGTCAAACTTCGACATCGACCGCTGAAAGAAGTTTCCTGTCACTGCAAGGCAACTCGATGGATTCGTGATTCAACACTAGACAGCGCTGTTTTGACCCACCAGGTCTCATCAGTAATGCTAGGTTGATCCAATGAAGTGCCCTAAAACGAACAAGCCTAGAAGTAAAGGTGGTGGCATCTCCCCCTATGAAAACGAAATGAATCAGACTGACAAAAGACTCAATCCCCGAATATCAAGGATAAACGATGCTTCTTAAGACGGTCTGTTATAAAGCCAAGCTCGGACGTCGACTACCGAAAGAGATTCTTCCTCTGTCTTTCACTGCAAAGCAACTTGACTTTCGGAAGTCGATATCAAAGCTTGTAGTGTAGCTTGTGGCTTTGCAACAGATTCCCTTGGGTAACCTCGTTTATCCTTGATATTCTGGGTTTGAGTCTTTTGACGTTCCCATAGTAGGAGGAGATGCCATTACCTTTATCTAGGCTTGTGCATTTTAGGACATGAATATTACTGAAGTTCAAGCCCAACACCAAACCGTTTTTGGGAAAGAAAGTTTTTGGCTTTCTACTACTCCATCTGATACAAAAAAATGGATGAGAGAATCTTCCAAAGAAAGGAAGGATTAATTAATTTGAAAATAAGTAACTCTATACATGGATGTGTAGATCATGCAAAGAAGTAACTTTCAGTACGAATGTATTTAAAATATTTTCAGACACATGCTTTTGATGATTCTTACATGGCAAAACGCATGTTTGATGATTTGAACTATTTTATACTGGTGATTCTATTTCTATTCACCACATTCATTTTTACGGGTAATGGCCACATTTCTCCCTCATTGAATAATATACATACTGTTATTTTTTTATTCCATTTTGCAAAATTTCCTTGTCAAATCTTCAGCTATGGTTTGAGATATGTGGTTCATTTAAGGTGATCGATGTATTTCTGTGATAAATCCGAGTAAAATTGAGTCTGGTCCTACGGATTCCTGGAGAGGATTGAATAATCGCATTAGGCATCTTCTATTAGTGGCATATGCTAAAGCTGTTTATAGGCTAGAAGATTATGTACGTCAGCAGAGAGAGAAGAGAAATGAACCTGGTTGGGATTTTATGGAGTACTTTTCTCTACAAGTACGTTTTCTAGCAATAATATGAAGTATTATTGGGTAATATTAACTATCATTAACTTTTAGGAGGAATTAGCTCAAGTTTTAGAGATGTTAGGACTCTATGACGAAGCTTTAGTTCAGTACGATGAACTCGACGCATTATTTTCCCAGTTTGTTGTGAATGGCATTACTAGTGAATCTGTTACGTGGCTCAGTAACTTTCAAAAACCATTAGAAAGGTGGCACGGGCTTAAGCTGGGGCCAGCGAAATTACCAAAAGATCCTTCCATATTAGAACTTAGAGCATATCTATTCGCCAAACAGGCCCATATGATGCTGCTCACAAACAAGACATGGGAGGTATGCATGTTTCAAAATTATTGATTTTAGATCCCTCAAAGCTTCATGTTGAGGACTATATTTATTATAATGTTGTGAATAGTTAAGCGGATTGTTTTTTGGGTGCCTCAAAGGTACATTTTGAGCCTGCATTATTGGGAGATGATATCATTGAATAGAGCACTACTTATATAGATATATTTTTCAGATGGCCTCCCGATGCTTGCCATTTCTACACAATTGCTGTAGAGAATTAGTTATTTTAGATATAACTGGTCCACCAGGTGCTTTTTCCAGTTGGTTATTTTTAGCTGCAATGGAAGTCCTGGAAACTTGTGACAAGAATAATCATGCAGACGAAGTTAAAGAATATTCTTTACATACGGCAGCGTTATGGGAGTATGCTAGTCATAAGGTACAATTTTGGGTTCTTAACATGCACCAACAAGTTTCAAAAATATTTTTTTCAGATCAGAGGCTTGGGTGAATTATGTGGTTTAATGCCTGGGGGAACACCAACCTCAGCGCAGCTCCATATTGTAGTGGGGCTGTCGGCAGGAATGGGGGATAATCCAGGTACACCTACATCTCCTTCTCCTACTGATACTGCATCGATTAGTTAAACACGTTAACAACAGGCATCTTGATGCCTATGAGAGAGCTTAGAAATGAGTCAACATTATCAGATTTACCTGACTAGTAGATAAGGCAACATTGTGAAGTTAATTTTAAGACCATTAAGATGCAGGTACTTAGCGGAGATCTAGCAGAGCAGAGTATCTATGGTATAAATAAGGACAACATTGTATGTAGATTTAGATTAATCTTTTTCTTGAATATGATCACTTGATGATTGAAACACGTGTCAAGATGTTGAAGATGAAGGTTTGGTGATGGGATAGAACTTCAGTAATATTCATTATTACACCAAAGGTTCCAAACAGTGCATCACAAGTAAATAAATTATAATGGTTTTGAAATAACTGTAAATTATAGTTTATTCCAGGTTGAAGAACGAAATTTTATGGAGGTATATCAGAAACTTAGAAAACTATTTATGCATTGCAGAAATTCTCCACCAAAACATTCTATCTTAGAAAGTAATAAGTTTTGATAAACTTCATCAAATACCTTTTAGAAATCTGTATATGTGGAGTGAGTTTGATACCCCTTTCCAAAATTAGTCAAGATGTCCCTTTGGTAAATTAGTAAATTAAAAGTAAAGGTGATGGCATCTCCTCCTACGAAGATGTCTTCTATGGGAATGACAGAAGACTCAATCCTCGAATATCAATGATAAAATTACCTCTACAAAGAGGTCTGTTGCAAAGTCAAACTTCGACATCGACCGCTGAAATGCTGAAAAACGTGTTTCTTTTTATTTGCATTATTTAAAGAGAAAGAACTGTAGGAAAATAACCATCATGGACTTTATGATTTTCTATTTAATTGGAAAGATTTTATTGATACGAACTGAATTGCTGCAAATCATCAGGCCATATGCTATTAAGGACAGGGCAAGCCCATAATAGGTCAATTTCCATACTTTCAAAGTTACCGTTCTTCATAGCTGCCAAATCAGAAAGTGCATAGTGCTTAGTTTCTGCACAATAATGTCAATATACTCCTCCCAGTCCATAGTTTATATTTTGCATTAAAAATGTCATGAAAAGTTTTTGATATGTTTTCCAATAGTTTTTCTACATCATGTGTGATTTTTCTGGAACCAGTATATTTGTATCATCAGCTCACATAAATATTTCTCAGTGCATGAAATAAACCAAAACAAAATTCAAGCGAATTTAGCGCCTGTAATATAATTTTATTTGAAAAATCAAATTTTCAGTATGTAGATATGGGAATGAAAAATTAAATTGAAAAATTGTGACCCAACCGAGATTTGAACTCGGCAACTAGGCTATCGGAGCCTCAAAGCAGAATGACGGCCGACTCCCTTCCTAAATTCAGTCTCTCCTGGTGTTAGTGTGATGAGAATGAAATTGTTAATTTGATGAACTCAACAACTAAACTTCATACATCTGTAGAATGATTTATTATTTCATTGTATGTCTGCATACCGCAAATTCAATTTTTCGTTATATTAATATAAAAGTCATTGTCATATACCACTACTGATTGTTTTCGGTTGGGAGTTACTTTGATTCATGACTTTTATGAAATAAGGCAATATTTCTCAGAGCTATTAGATTTCAAATATCGAAAAAACAAATGTAATTTTATTTAGGAAAACAGCCCTAAGTATGTGGCCCATCTATATCTATGGAAACGACAAAAAACTCAAACCATGAATATCAAAGATATTTGTAAATATTATTGCTATTATTCATTCAGAGTTTTTCTTCAACTAAAAATGAGTACCATAGTCCCAGTACCAAAAAGCAATATAATTTATGACCCTAGTAACTATCGTTCTATAAAGACTCTACCACCTTTTGAAAAAATTAGTGGCCGTTTATGAACAGTTTAGCAAATATATTAATCAGTGTTATTGCTTTTCGAGTTTGAAAGCCGTGGATTTTTGGAATTTCTTCCTGACGTTTCGCTAGCGCGAGTGGCTAGCTTCTTCAGACAAACTCTGTTTGTCTGTTTGGCCTAGTCTGCAGACTAGGCCAAACAGACAAGTCAGCTGTGGCAGAACACGCACTGAGTGAAGGAGACCACAGAATTTTGTTTGAGAACACAGAATTAATTGCCCCCAACCAGGGATACCATAGCCGACTGGTACGGGAGGCAATAGAGATCCACAAACACAAGGATAATTCTAACAGAAAAGAAGAAGCGGTGAACCTCAATCAAATATGGAACCCCATTTTAAGGAATTCGAGAATAACGAACAGGACAACAGGCAGCAAGATTGTTGATGTTCTAGTTTCAAGTGCAGGTATGAATACAGGTACAAATGCAGGTACTAATACAACTGATTACCTGACAAGGCATAAATACGCTTTACGAAGCCTAAAAGGTAGTCATCGGACAACAAGCCATGATGGTTAAACCTCTGAAGAAGCTAGCCACTCGCGCCAGCGAAACGTCAGGAAGAAATTCTAAAAATCCACGGCTTTCAAACTCGAAAAGCAATAACACTGAAAACCTCAGCCGTGAAAGTCTAAACCATTTTGTCAAATATATTAATGATAATAATTTACTAATGGACTACCAATCAGGTTTTAGATCAAATCATTCTTGTGAGACTGTTTTGCAACAAAGTGGAAATCTTTGATAGATGAAAATAAATTTATAGTTGCAGTGTTCTTGGACTTTAAAAGAGCTTTCGAAACCAAGGTGAATGATGTAGTCTCCAATAAAAAGAAATATAACCACCGGCGTTCCCCAGGGCAGTGTCCTAGGACCCTTGCTATTCATTCTTTATTTGAATGATATCAATTTTGTTCAAGACCGTGAGTTCATTAATTTGTTTGCTGATGATACTCTCGTAGCTATTAACAATCTGAATCTGGATGAGGCCAAAGAGGAAATGAACAAATGTTTTGAAATTATCAATAATTTTTTGAATATTAATAAGCTCAAATTATTTACTCTCAAAACCAAGGCCATGATAGTAACTTCAAAATACAAATATAGCCAAATCAATGTAAATAACATAAATATATCAATATATAATGAAAACATTGAAAAAGTGCAAGAAATGAAATATCTTGGCTTCAAAATAGATTATCACTTTCAAAAGTCATTACAGCTACGTTCATAGCAAAATAAGTAAAAAATATTCTTTTTTTCACGAATACACCAACAATTATCTTTCCCTACATCTATAACGGTCTATAAAACTATAATCCAACCTCACTTTGAATATTTTCCATGTTTATATTCGTTACTAGATTCTGACAGTATCGCTGCATTACAAAATGCAAAATAGACCAATGCGAATCATTATCAAATGCAAGAAGTCAACTCCTATTGATACAATTTTAGTTGTACTGAACTGGCATCAATTAAAAACCCGATTATATTATCTTTCAATGATTTTTATTCATAAAATGTCGAAAGGACAGTTACCTTCATATTATAATCAATTTATCACATTCAATAATCAAATTCACAATTACTAGACCAGAGGAAGTTCAAACTTTCATGTAAATAAAACCAATTACAAAAAAACATGAATTTTTTGTTTCACTAAGGATTGATTCAATATAATAATCTTCCCATTCATATCAGGGATAGTGCAACACTGAGTTCATTCAAATGCAATCTTCTGGGGTACATCAATGAAAAATAACCTTCATCTTGTGTATGTATTATTGTTTCACAAACTATTGTATTTAGAACAGCAGTTGTTCATTCATTTAATCAAATAGTTATGTAATTTTTGTATATTAGTATTTCTATTTCAAATGAAGATTATATGAGCGTAAAAGTTGCATTGATGACCCGTCCCAGATTAGATGTACGGCAGTTCGCAACAGTGTTGTCTGATATGAAATTATAGATGCCACGCTCTTGTGCTCTGATATATTCTAGAGTAGACTAAATGAAAATATATCTTCCAGTACAGTGATAATACATTGAAATAAAAATAAGAAGTTCACCTAGATAAATATATACGACATTTCCAGGAATTGGCAGAACTGGCGATGGGTACCTACAAACACATCGGCCGCCTGCGCTCCGCAAGACTAGTCGGAAGAGAAGTGGCCTCCTTCTACATGCTGCTGGGAGAAACGCAAAAATCCGCCGCCTTCCTCAGCGACCTTTTAAAAACGTTTGAGCAAGATGGCTGGCATGAGCTGGTAGCCCAGACTCAAATCGAACTAGCCGAGTGTTACAAAAAGGCGCACGATGTCAAAAAATTCGTCGGAGCCAGCGTCCACGTCTGCGCCGCCCCCGAAATAGACACGTTAATTCGCTGGACGTACTTTGACGACATGCGAAAGTATCTCGACTCGCTCGACGAGCCCCTCACAGTGCCTCTAGGTGATATTATTAAAATAATGAGCGTCAACGTTAAAAATGAAGGCGTTGTGATGCAGGATAGCGCTATAGAAGTGGAACTCATCATCGAATCGAACTTCCCCAGGGAGGTATGCATTTAACATCAAGTTTCTTTACTTACTTACTTATTCTTTATTGTTGAAGATAAGTCCTTTTGAATTAAGTTTTGAGAAATATGTGTGAATAGTATAGATAGATAGGTATTGATTAATATTATACAATGATTATCATACAACAAAAAGAAAATACATATAACTATAATAATGAATATTCAGTAAACTACTACTACTACTGTACACCAGAGTTTCGAGATGGAGTAAAGTTATTAAAAAAAAATCCTGTAAAAGTTTTAGACATTAGCATCAGGATTTTCAAATTATCTTCCAATATACAGGGCACTCTTTAGAAGCGTGGCATATGAAAGTTAGGTTTTTTAAATGAAATTACATATTTCACATTTTATATTTGGATTACATCAAAACATAACTATGGGAAATATAAAATCGAATTGGTATATACCAAGTGTTTCAGAAGTTATTCCAAAAATAATGTGTCAGTATAGCATTTCTATTCAACCTTCCCCATTCTCAATCAAAACTCAAATAGTCTCTTTTGTTAAAATTAATCAATACACTTTATTGTATGATTTTCACTATGAAGGGTTTTACAAAAACCATGACACATGTTTCGCTATACAATAGCATTCTCAGGCACAAATTCAAACTAAAAGTAACTTCTAAATTACAACCATATTATACTCTAACCTATTAGATACTCGTTTGCCTAATTTCTAAAGAAAGTCAGGTAACATATAACCAAGTGTTGCCATTCAACTTACATTTCTATGTGTGGCTGTTTTGTGTTTGATCGTTCATATGATATTGAGAGTTTTTGAATTTTTTCATTTCCATACTTAAACTCAAAAACGATTTTTCTTCTTTGTGTTTTTTAAATGAAACAGCCTATATTATATTTTTCATTTGATATATCTAAAAATATGAAGTTGCATGAGTATACACTTAGCTGTTTGACTTGATTATACCATAAAGATCGCAAAACAAATTTTGAATACAGTTTTATTGACAGTAATCCATCTCGCTTTGAATGAATAAGTCAGTCATTACTAATACTTCAAGATACTGCTTTTGTCCTCGCAGTCAACACATATATATCACTGAAGACAAAATAAATTGGTTAAGACTTTCGCTGCCGAGATTTTCATTGTTACAATCTTCATTCGGGTTTGAAGGCCGTCATGGTTTGGAATTGTATCCTAATGTTTCGCCAGCACGAGTGGCTGGCTTCTTCAGAGGTTTATTCTGAACCATCAAGACAGTAAGGTTTTCATTTTGAATGAAACATTCAACTTTCTGGATATATGTTTCTGATTCAAGGAAAACGATATCAGTTTTCGTGAAAACAAGATCATATTTTCTTATTTTTTGTTGTATAGTTTTTATTATGCCTGTTTCTCTGCGGTTTGATAAAAACAATGGATGGTTCTGAATTACTTCATTGATTTTATATGCCCCTATATCTCTATTATCTGTCTATTTCAATGCAATAGCTGTATCCGTTATCAAAGTATCTAAAATGTTTTTATTAATTATTGTTGGTGTATATGGACATTGTTGAAATTTCCTCTTTGTTAAACTCTACTTTGGTCAAGTTAATGATTCTTTCGCTGAATTGGATATCTGGTTTGACTGATTCGTTATATATGATACGTTGTTATTTCTGTATTAGTTCCTAAGTTTTTAAAGTTGAGTTTGGTACTTCCGGTATATAAAATCACTAATTATAGACCTAACTTGGTCATAAAAAAATGTCAAATTCTATCTGGGTGGGGTTTATAAGTACTCTGCACTATGAACTTACTCACAAAATAAGCTATGGAACTGTACACAAGCTGGCAACGCCGCTTGATCGAGTTAAGTGATGGCTGGCCAGACTAGAACGATGTGACAGCGACGGGACTATTCTAGAAAAGAGAAAACGCGAGGAGGTGACAGTTATACGGGAAAGTTCTAGGAGGCGTATTTACAATTATATAAGCATGTACAGTTACATTCAGATATAAGTTGTACCAGGTGTTGTTATTGGACGGACCTAGGATAGTTAATCGTAACATTATTTATCAACTTGTAACGTACAAGTGCGCGATTAACGTTAGTGTAGTGTTATGGTGGCTAAAAAGCAGAAATTAAACGTTGGGTTCTTTCAAAGTTCTTGGACAAGTAATTATGTTTTTGTACAGTAAAGAGATCGAGCCATATGTGCATTAAGTCGGGAAAGCTTAGTATTCCACACATCTAGTGTTAAACGCCATTTTCAAACAAGACATGAATTGGGGTTTACGGATAATGCTGATAGAACGAAAACAATCCAAAGAGCAGTTGCTCAGTATACAAAGCAGGCAATATTCTTTACAAAAATTAGTCAAGGGAAAGATCAAGCAACCGAACACAGTTTTAAAATTATACAATCTTTGGCAGAAAAGGGAAAACCTTTTACTAATAGGAAAGTTACGAAGCAAACGTTTCTGAGAAGTGCGGATGTACTGTTTGATGATTTTCCTAATAAACAAGCAATACTGGTCCGGATTAATGATATACCAGCATCAGCGCGGACTATTGAGAGGCGAGTTACTGAAATGGCAAAAAATGTACGGAAACAACAGATCAACGTCATTAAACATAATATCGTATTTAGTATTTCGTTGGATGAAAGTGTCGACGTTAATGACATTTCCTGGTCGGCAATCATTGCGCGGTACTTTGACAATAACCGTGTATATGAAGAACTGATATGTCTGCTTCCATTGGAAGGAGCAACAAGAGGCGAAGATACATTTTCAGAATTCGTTAAACATTTTCAGAAACTGGGACTAGACTTGACGAAGATTTTTTACGTAACTACAGATGGAGCACCTTCTATAATCGAGACACATAGGGGATTTGTATCACTTTTTGCTGCTCGCATTGGTCGACCAATTTTGAAATTCCATTGCATCATTCATCAAGAAACTTTATGCACGCAGATCTCGAGCGGAAGCTTAAAATCCGTGATTGATACCGTTGTTAAAGTTGTCATCTATATTGCTGGTCGTTCTTCAATAACTCGCAGACAATTCAAGTCATTTTTACAAGAATTGGAAAGTGCATATTTAGATATTCCATTACACAGCAATATACAGTAAAGTGCTTTCTAGATTTGTGGAATGTTTTACTGCAAAATAAATCAAGTCTTTTCTGAACTAGATAATAAAGAATGCATTTGTAAGTTAATGTTCTTAACTTAACTTAACTTAACTTAATTACAAATAATCTCGGCGAACTAAACCTTAAGTTGCAAGGATCAGGTCAAACTGTTCTATATTTGTATGATTCCTGGAAGTCTTTAAAAATGAAAATAGATGTATTTATTCGCGATATTACCTCCCATACATATAGAATACTTTCCAAATCTAAAAACATATTTACCCAACTATAATAATTGTGATAATGCTGCATTTAACGAGGAAATGTTATACTACATGACTTCACTGAAAGAAGAATAAGCTGAAAGAGGTCAATATATTGATAAACATGGTCACAACATTATAATTTTTTATAATGGCACTTTGACTTTGTTCAATATTGCACATGGGCACCTCTTAGTTAAAAGGTTTTGACCCTGCAGTCTAACACATAAAAAAGGAAACAAATTACCTGTTGGAAAAATTATAAATGATGGAGGATTAATCGTAACAAGGACTTACTTTTAAGTAAATTTCTTAAACCAAAGCAATTCTTTATCAAAAGGTTAGGTTAGGTTGACTGGGGCAATAGCTACGTTGTTTCATTTTTCATTACTTTGTCATCTTATTATATTTCTCCAACATAAACTGTAAGAGTTTTCTGGGAAAATAAAAGTTATTATCATTATTATATTTTGACTTTGAGGTCGTCTGCACGGATGTGATTATTTCGCTGGAAGCGGACGGCGGCAAAAAAAACACCGCCGAAAGGTACTGTTCAGGCCAGCTGCTCACCAACAAGGACATGAGGTCGCAAGATCCCGCTTTGCAGAGGCTAAGGATCAAGAAGAACCTTGACATCAAGCAGGATAAACAGCTGGCATCAGCAGGGATTGCGTCCAAGTTTACAGAACTGAAGAGGAAGGACAGTTCGCCCGCAGCGCCAGTCCAGACAGATTTTGGATACTGCTTGAATGCCTTTAATCTGGTAAGTTTCTTATACTACATCATTGAACACATGGAGTGTTCTAGGATAATTCCCATTTTTGAACATTTGGGCAGTTAACTTGAGTGTTTTATTCTAATCATTCTGATATGTAACCCCCAGTAACTGATGAAGTTACGGTGTAATGAAACGTGTTTGAAATAAAATTTATTGAGAAAATTCTATATTTATCATTAAGAGTGTTATTAATTTTCATGAAATAACACGTCAGAATTTCATAACACTATGTGAATGTTGGTTTAATCCTAACTGTGTCTACTCTTTTATAAACTTGACTTTTACTCTTTTATATCCTCCATTTTAACATAGTTTGTACCCATGCACCATTTATATTTTTATTTTAATTTCAGTTGGTATGTATTGCATTTTTTTAAGTATGTACTACCCAAGCTTCGTCTACAAGATTATGTCTTATGATACTTAAGCATATTATTATTATTATTACTCTATTGTCAAATTCTCACAACAAAACTAACTGTAACATGTGTTTCAGCATACAATAGCTTCCACAATTCTGTTCATACTAACTGTTAGTTGTTGTTTTTGTTTTTTTCCTTCAGAATTCTACCTATTTTATCTGTTTTCTCCCCCAATATAAGGCAAGATGGCTTTAGTTGTTTGTTTTTTTCTGTTTTTTTTTTCATTGTTTCTTCTTTCTTCGGTGTGTTGCTTTGTGATTTCATGATTTTAATATCCATTCTGCTGAAGAACGTTTTGTATATCTTCCACTAGAAACAAATTATATCTAGAGAACATGATGTAGAAAATAATAATTCAATCAAAAACATAAAAACCACATTTCTCCATTTTGAACCAAATTCAAGTAAAATACAACTTTTAGAGATGGCTGAAATAGAGATATTGATAATCCTAGCAAAATTAATTAATCTATCAAAACCCTGAATACTTCTTGTAATATTCAAAGAATGGCAAATCAGCACAAAGTCATTAATGCACCCAATTTCAAAAAAACTCTTCTCACTCTCCATTCATGACACAAAATTGCCATTCCCATGTTAACTTCCTTCGAAAGCCAGTGTTGTTGTTTGGGTCACAATTGTGCCCCAAAGTGAATTTGTACTAATGCAAATAGTGCTAGGGCTGTCTTAAAATCTGTTTATAATCTGTTTTTTCGTTAACCAGCTGTCGCACCCCTATGAACGACAACCCTCAGAAGTCGAAACTTGTGCGAGCTAAGGATTAACGAGGTCTTACCTTTTAACGTGTGATTCCTAACACGGGTTGAACGATAGCAAGTGAAAATCTATCGTTCAGACTGGGGCTTGAACCACCTACTAACATGGCAGTCAATTCGAGTGAGTGAACAAAGCACCTACGTCGAACCGACCGCCCGTATATTCAATGATAATCATCCAGGAAGAAATATACGACACAACTACGTTTCGGAATTATTGAACAAATTTATGGAAACTGGATCTGTTAACAATAAAAAACATAACCGGTCAGGAGTTATCAACGATGAAGCTATTTGTACTGCAGTTTTAAGGCATGTTGGACTAATAGAAAATTCGAAATCTCTTATCTCGAGAATCAGGAATCAGTTGTACAAATGTTTTCAGCATCCTACATAAGTACAAATTTCATCCATATAAGATTAGACTAGTTCATGAATTGAACGAAGATGATTTTGATAGATGTATCGAGGTTTGTGAAAGTCTCACTGAACGGATCAACTTGCATCAGAATTTCTTGTATAAAATTTGTTTTTTGGATTAATGTACGTTTAGTTTGAATGGAGAGGTGAATTGGCAAAATTTTCGATATTGAAGTGATACGAATTCTCATTTATACCGTCAAGTTCATACCCAACGACCTCAAAAACTGAATGTTTGGGCAGGAGTTTTTTGTGACCACATCATAGGACATTTTTTTATCGATGATAATTTGATTAGTGATAAATATTTGGATATGCTGGAGAACCGAATAATAAATTGCATCAATAGGACAATTGAGAAGGATATGAATTTATTCGAAAACGAAATAGTTTTTCAGCAGTGTGGTGCATCTCCTCATTATGCAGCTACAATGCGACATTGACAACCTTCTGCATTTGTCTGGCCATGATTTCTCCCTTCGTGCGGCAAACCAACATGATCTTGAGATTCGAGAGTAGAGAGGGCATCATTCCACTAAGGACTCTAATAATCAGAACATCCATCTTAACAAAGTGATCTGGATGGGGTCTGCAGAGTTCGAAGAGAAATTTTCAACATTTTATCCGTTTCTCTTTTTTTTTAACTATATTTGTCTCATCGGAAACTGAAAATTTCAAGGCGAATATCGTCTTGCTTTGATGATCTAGAAAGACTACGTCATGCTCATTAGCTTGTATGAGCCTGAGGGTGGGGAATGAATAGTTCCAATAAATTCGGCACTTCTCATTCTTCATAACGGATTATTATTATAATTATTATTATTTGGTTCAGCAGTTTGCTTTGTTCTGCATTTCATTCACAATTTGACTGATGATTCAAATTTCATTTAGCTTCTCAAATTGTAGCATATTTTGCCCATCATGAATATACTATTTTTTTATTGTTTTTAATGTTGAGTATTTCGCTAAAAACATTTCTTTGTAAATTTCATAAAGCATAAAAATGTTTTTACAAATTTTGTTGTTTCTTTCTTACTCAAATGAGTACTGGCCCTTAAATTTAATCTTGATATATTTCGTTTCGCAGCCCTTAGTGATAACCCCAGGACTAAACATGATAAGACTGAAAAGGCAAGCGAATCGCCTAGGAAAATTCTGCTTGGGACAAGTAGCTGTACACCTGAAAAATCTCCATCTCGTTTCGACATCACTCATACCTAGGTTAACATTCGAAGTGAAAGAAGAGCCCCCCTCGCTGAAACTTTACAAAAAGGCGGCACCTCTTCTGTCTGGCATGGAACAAACTATGAATTTAATTATCACCATAGGAAGTTATACTATCGATTCAGTAAGTACATTTTCAAAATTATTTTTTTATTGTGTCAATTTTCTTCGATTGCAGCACTCGACGATAAAACTCCTCGCTTCGCCGGGCCTGCTTCTCCAGGTCGCCCCTGATTTCCCTCTGGTTGGCTCTCTGGAAATCGAGGTGGGAGAAAACTTCCCCTTCACCAGTACCAGGCGTCACCTGAGGGTAGCGGCTGACATGCTGTCGAGGGACCACCAGGTCACCATCCACGTCCCGTGGACTTCAAAACCAATCTTAGTGGTGCTCAGTTTTTCGCCGCCGCTCACCGCCATCTGGAAGTTGTACACAGTGCTGCAGAGGAAGTTCGTGCAGATCAATGTGACGGGTCAGAGCGAAAGAGATTTGTACACTGAACAGGCGAAATTAAATGTTGGAGATGTAGAGTTAGCAGAAAGGAATTGCGCATCTAGTCAAGTAAGTAATTTTTTTTTAATTACAGGTATGTGATGTTTCTGTGTACTATAAAATAATAAAATCAATAAATTGATTGAAATGATACGCAATTGCACATTTAATATGATAGTTCGTTGGAAAACTAGTTGATCCCTGTACCGAATTCTCCGTTGTTTTTTTCTCTCTGCGCAAAAAGGGTATCTATCTTTGTTTGATTCATTTCTATGCAAAACATACATGGGGTGATTTTTAAATCACCCATTAAAATCGCGCCACCCTGAATATCTCTCTTCCAGTACGTGCTATGAAAAATCAATCAGACAGGTCTTGGCTACAACGAAGTGGTAAAGAAGCAGTAGCAGCAGAAGTGATGAAAGTATGTCAACTTCATAGCAGGGAAATTTTCAGCCAAGAAAATTATCGATAAAAAAAGGTTTAANATTTGTTATGTCAATTGGTGTAAAAAAATTACAATAATTTGTACGATAGGAAATTCACACAAAACTGGATAACAAGGCCCTTGTCTCAATTTTTTGTGCAAAAAAGGCATACCACTCATGGTAGCCAATATATTACATAAATATCCTCATTTTCTTAGTGGTTTCGATTCTTAGTGGTTTCGAATATTAGAATGCTTTGAAACAATATTTTTTCAGGTGTAACGAGATTAGCAGTGAAGAAAAAGTGTTATTATGGGGACACAGAGGCACCTTTACAAGGGTAGCCAGTCACAGATAGAATTTGGTCTCGAATTCATATTAATTTCTCAAAATTATCCAAAAAATTTCTTTAAGGACAAAACACAAGCACTAAAAGAAAATCTTCAAGGCGCTCTCAGAGCGGTGCCTGTGCAAAAGTAGCGATTCACATTGGATTTGAATCGTTGGAGAATAAATCTATTTGGAAAAACGTTCTCAGGAAGTTTATTCCACATAAACGCAGTTCTCCAGATTTAAGAGTTCTTAAACAGTGAAATTCGAGGTGTACTGAGTTGAACCTAAAAACGATGAGCAGTCCGTCGCGTATTTCTGTACCGCTTTTGGTGGAATCAAATATGCCAAGTCACTTGAACACCTCCCGTGAAAGTATCTATAGAATAATTATTCTCTCATTGTGTTGGACCATTATCAAAATAGATTGAAGTTCTTTCACTGACCTCAGTCACCTCTGTAATAATTTAATGTTTCAATGAAACAAATAACTTCGTGGTTGTGACTTGACTGGCTTTATTCAGAATACAATTCTAACCTTTCAAGTAAAAAAACACTCTAAGAAATATACCGGGAGGCTCCATCTAAATGATGGAACTCCACGATATCACACCTTCACCCTAAAAATTCACATGAGTATAAATTCGAACTTGCCTATCCCTAATAATTAATCGCTATCCCCAGTTTCGCTTACAATTAAACCTAATGGCACAAACAATACCACAACCAAAAATGCTTTCTGATATTGAACTCAATTATACCTATTGGGTACGTTTTGTTTTTTACGGTTATTAATTACATTTCTTTGAACGTAAATTATACGTCGGTGCATCTTCAACAGTCTCAGTGTTCACCGTCATCTCATTTTTTTCATTTTGAACTTTTATCTCGCCACTTCTATCACCGATATTATCACTTTCAACATCACCCTATGATCTAACTTTACATCATCATTTTTGTCAATTACAATATTATAGGGATAGATGATATATGTGGAAAAGCTGTAAGGTTTGTCAAGGAAACGATAGGTTTGCCTTTAGCTCACATAATCAATGAATCTTTTTTGTCAGGACAGTACCCATTGATTCTAAAGGTCTCTAAATCTATACCAATTTTCAAAAACAAAGGATCTAGAGAGATAGTAGATAATTACCGAAATGTCTGCTTACAGAGCCAACTAGCCAAAATTTTTGATATGGCATATAATGAACGTCTCAATAAATTTTTGAATCAACATAACTTATTATTTGATTGTCAGAATGGATTTAGAAGGAACAAATCAACAAATACCGCCATATCTGATCTCAATACTACCGTCTATAGCTGCCTTAATAATAAACAAAATCCCATTGCTCTTTATTTTGACCTAAGNGAAGGAATGACGAGACCGACTTATTTGATCTGTAAGCCTCTTATGTTACCTACCCCCCACCGATGCAATATCAAACAAAGTATTTCCAATTTTTTTTGTTATCACACCTTCGGTTCATGTAGGACCACTGATGTTAGTATAATCCCTATGTAGAATATTGTCACCCACATTCAATTCTCTGTTCTTGCCCCTATAATCTTTCATTTGTTTTTCTACCTTGGCCTCTACGTGACCTTCACGGTTTGGCATTAACAGATGATCAAGTCTACCTTTTAATTTATGGCCAAACATCAATTCAGCTGTTGTAGTATGTGCCGTATTTCTATAATCAAACAGAAATCTATAAATGAATTGTTTAATATTTTCATTACACAACATCGCCTTTTTTAGAGCATGTTTGAAATTTTTCACTGCCCCTTACTTGATGGATGATAGGGAGCTGAGAACAGATGATGTGCTCCATTTATTTTCATGTACTGCTCGAAAGTAGTCGATGCGAAAGGCGGACCATATAGTATCCGGTAACCAGATTTGTGAAAAACAAATCTTCAATTTATTAATAGTACCTTCAGCTGTGGTACTATGCATTTCGAAAGCTTCCAGCCATTTACTATAGGAATCTGTCAAAATTAAAACTTTTTTATTATAAATGGGCCCCAAAAAATCCAAATGCAGCCGACACCAAGGATTTAGGCGGGTTACTACGTACAGCATTGCATATCTTGCAATTGTTGCACATATTTTCTATTTCTAAATCAATATTGGGCCAGTATACGTATGATCTAGCCATAGATTTACATTTATTTATTCCTAAATGACTCAGATGAATATTTTTTTCAGAATTTTATTTTGTAAATTTTCTGGAATTATCACTCGATAGCCCCATAAAATGCAAACCTGTTCTAAATGAAGTTGATTGCTTTCAGTTTCATAAACCTTGAATTCTAGGTTGAGTTCGTTTTTGTCTGGCCATCCATGAAGCAAATAAAAATATAATTTATTCAGAGTTCTGTCTTTTTTTTTGTTTGTAGCGCCACTTCGTTATGATTGATAGGCAGGTTTTCTTCAATGTACAAAATATGATTGAGTCCGGCGTCTGAATTGTGGATTTTAATATCATTTGCAATTGGACTAGACGGACCGTCAGAAAATTCGTGAGAAAGAATTACTCCCACCCCGTATCACTTGCATCACAAGCTAAGTACAGGGGTAAAGCAGGATTATAATGTACAAGAACTTTTTGAAGAAATTAATTCTGCCTTAATTAATTCGAATGCTTTATGTTGTTCTCTTGTCCAATTGAATGGCACTTTTTTTTAAGTGCATACAGGGGAGCTAGTTTTGTTGAAATATGTTCAATATATTTTGCATAATAGTTTACCAGTCCTAGAAATGCCTTCAGTTGTGTTACATTAGTAGAAATTTTTACATTCGTTATCGCTAACATTTTGTCTTTTGATGTATGTACCCCTTGGCCAGTTATTTCACAACCCAAATATTCAATTTTAGTTTGACAGAAGCTACATTTCGATATTCGAATTTTCAAACCGTATTTACGCAATTTATCGAACACTCTGACAAGTAAGGGAGCATGTGATTCCACATCACTTGAGCAGATTTTCATGATTAAATTTACCACAATGGTGGTAAAAAAACACTCTAAGAAATATACTGGGAGGCTCCATCTAAATGATGGAACTCCACGACATCACAACCTCAAATATAACTATTATTGAATTGAAAGAATGAGTTGCAAGATATGGTCTTACAAAGTTACTAGTGAGAGATAATGCCCCACAGCTGATATCTGCTGTACCACTATGCTTGGTCGAATAAACAACCTATTTCATGCATGAATATTATTTATTTCATTTCAAATCTAATACATCATACGTGTGGTCAGCTAAACATTCTCTCTACGAAAATTCAATGTCTTCATCATTTCCAAAAAACTATCGCAACAACCTATGAACCAGAAATGATAGTAAGCGTCAGGACATTGATCTACTTTTGTGAACCCATCAGTAATATCGCACTTTTTTTGAAAAAGAAAGACATTTGAAAACTTTACACGATTTTTTATTCTGCCCCAAGAACTTTCAAGAATTGAATTTACTTGATTCTCAATACTAGTTAGAGGTTTAATTTAGAAAAAAATACTAGTTCGAGAGCAAGGAAAGCGACTAGTAAACAAACAAATTAAGTGTGATAATTATAAAGTGTAAATGAAGATGTTATGGCATAAGTTACATGTGGATGTTATATTATTCTTGTGTACAGTGTTTTTTCTGTCTCCCTTTTCTATTTTAAAATCACTGTGTTGGATTTCACTACCTTTTAATAAATTATTTTTTAGATCTTACCATTAGTAGTAAGAATTAAATACTTTTGTATGTGTACCAGAATGTTTTGCTAGTTTTAAACTATTTTTTGCCAATTTTACTTGTGATTGTGTCCAACATATTTTTGCATAGAGAAGATATAACCAGGATTGAAAAATGCAATAAATACATGAATAAATTATTTCTCACATTTTATATTTTTTTCAAGTTGTTTCTTCATTCCAGGTTATTTGCAACGGTTCAAGTTACGCTTACATTTGGGAATTAATTGTAACCCCTGACATGGAGTCTGTAATAAAAGCCGAATTTTCTCTGTCCTATAACTTAGATGACCAAATTGGTGACAATAAACTTTATCAATATTTTTTTGATATCGTTGATTACCAGGTGAGTTTTAAAGAACTTGATACAAATTTAAAATCTTCATATTTTTCAATTACATCATCAAAAATCTGATTCAGGTTCGTATATTTTGATCTTCATTCATTCATTCACCATATAATAATAATGATGATAAATAATAAGCTTTTTTGTCAAAAGAATTACTCTTATTGACAAAGCAAGGTCAATGATACACAGAGCTTTCGCAATCCCTTCACTTGAAAAGAATTTCCAGGATGTACTAGAAATAATTAAACAAATTACGGTAAACAAGCGGGTACCATTTTCTTTAAAAGAAAAGATAATATCAGATAAAACTCATAACACGCTCATAAGTGAATTATACTCAAATATCAGAGAACAATACGTGTGAGTACAGTACCATTAATTACTCAGGTAAACTTTCAGAAAATATTCAAAATTACTTTTCTAAATACAAAATAATGAAAACATCGAAATATTCATCTTTCCCAACTACCTACACTGTAGGTTCTGGTAAATACCTGCCAGAAAACTGCTTCCTCGGCTAATACCTCTATTGTTACTATTTAACAATATTTCTCTTAAATGAAGGTATCATACATGCAGTCAAGCAGCGTTGAAATTAATCGAATCACAGCCAATTTGATGTTTAGGTCGGATCTTTCCTGCACTGATGAGAGGTAATACTTCGAAACCCAGTTTGTAGGTTAATCCACTCTAATAATTTCAGCATGGTTCTGCTGCTGGCAGTCATTCACCAGAACCTATGGTTTAGGTAGTCGGGAGATATGACTATTTCTAGGTTTTATTTCGAAATATTTATTTTCTTATACGTGTGTACTTCTCCTTTTGATCTCTGTTAGATTACAACGAGAGGGGCGTTTGCCCTCTTTGTCCCCCGCTCTTATAACACCTTGAAGTAGATCAAGTCAGATAATCCCCCTCCTTATCTCAAAATTTCAAAAATTCAAAAATCAACCATTTCCAAATTGAGATTCTCATTGAAAAAAGAAGTTGGTATATTCTTTGTTTGTTTTTGAAAATCTATATTATTCGTATAGAAATTTTATATCTATCTATCTTTGTACATATTCAGACCCTCTACATCCTGGACAGCGCCGTCGAACCAGCGAAGGGAAGCGAGTTCTGCCGAGTTGGCATCGTTTGTCGGCTGAACCTCACCATCGAAAATACTGGTCAACTTTGTCATGCGAACGACGACGTAAAATCGGTGATGTACGAAGTTCTCGCCGAACAGAGTGTTTGGGCGGTGTGCGGTAGAACTGCGGGCGTGGTCTCTTTCGATTCCGACAAGACACAAACGGTCGTTTTGGATGTGATGCCGCTGACTAGTGGACACTTACCCTTACCGTTAGTTAGGATATCCAAGTACATTCCTGCAGAGAGTGGGACGCCAGGTGAGATGAGTTTGATTGATTTGTTGATAAATAAATTTTAATATAATCTTTTATCAGGTTTTATCAAACCTATTTTTTCATTTTTGATAGATATTCTTGTATTATTGTTGAATGACTTTTTTTTGACGTAGATCCTGGATTACTGAACAACTAATCAACGACCTTGACCTAATTTGTATTTAGAAAATGCATAAATTAGTAATTTGATTCTTTTTCAGTCACATCTTCAGATATTTGTGGAAACTCTATTTTACATAGGGTTCTTTTTGTTCAATCTATCCTCTCAAGTAGTGGGGAAATAGGAGAGATGTGAGTGTTCAGTAATCAGCTCACCTCCTTAACCAATTTATAAGTTTTAATTAATCATAATTAATCAAATTCACAGAGACAATTGACGACTCATTTCTAAAAAATAGATGTCCATAGCATAAACAAGATGTCTCAAATTTCCCGAAAGGTAGTTTCCTAACTTCTATGGAACTTTTAATGGAACACACTATTTAACATTTTGATATCTCATATTGGTCATATTGAAATTATTATTGTGAAAGAGAGTGATATTATTTTCTCATAGATGAGTTATTTGAGCAAATAGACTTTTCTACAAATTCATTCATTTGTTCTACACAATTTTCATAGATGAAAATTGAAACTTGTTTTGGTTATGAGAAAATGATCTCGAATTTGCCAGTTGCGTTTCAGAATAAAAAACTCGCACACTTTTTTCAAATCTTTTGTTGCTCTAATCCAGAATAGATTAAAATAATAATCAGATGAGTTCCAAACGAAAAAAGGTTATCATATCTACTTCAGGTATGCTTTCGAAAATAGTTTTGTCTGCGAGAAGAACTGATTATATTTTTTGAGGTGTTGTATAGTTTTAAAAGTATAGGAGATAATAAATGATGGTCTTGAAAATATCCAAAATTGCAAAGCATATAGTGGCTAATTGTATGTGACTTACAACTTTTGAGTTGTAGGGCCACCGCGTTTTCTTCAAATATGAAAGGTTTAGGTATCTGTGCCCTAGCCACTTTGTTTCCTAGAACACCCCTCCAGAAAGAGCACAGTTCAGTATTTTGCCTTTCATCAACGTTTCCAATTGAAAGATATATCTTTCAAACTAGGAATAGGAAAGTAAATCGTTATGTTCATTGGGTAAGCTCGCAGAATATTCTAAATCAACTTCCGAAACTTTTCCTTTTGGTGAATGGTCATCTATAGCAGAATAATCAATTTTTTTTATTTCATACCTGCACCATGTAAATTTGTGGTGTCTAGGTACCTAATATTGGCTCTTTTGGATATAACAGCTATTCTTTTACAGCATGTACTGACACCCCTCTAATACCCTTTCTGAAGAAGTGTATCATATCAACATCTGTCAGCAGTTTTAGATTCAGTTGAGTCACTCGTGGCAAGGCATCTCAGCTCGAAGAGGGCGCTGTCAACTATTGGCAGATATACAATTTGTATTGTTTTCAACATACTTTCGTAATGTTCTCAAAACAATCCGCGAGTAATAACATGTTTGACTTCAGGTAAATGTCGGAGTTTCCTCTCAAGGTCTGGCAGTTAAATATTCTCCACCTTTTTTTGGTTCGTTCATAATCTTTTTCGGAATTGGTTAGATCCTTAAAGAATTTATTTTCAGGTGTTAATTGATTTCCTTTTTATTTTTCAATTGAATCTTTGTAGATATGAGGAAATACCCCCTTTCATCTAATTGGATAAAAGTCTTTGTTATCTTGAAAACTTATGTTGTCAATCGATAAAACACATTGCTAAGTGAACGGCGTATGTTTGGCATGGATGCCCCTAGACCAGTTCAGTTCCCCACCATATATTATTACAGGGTCAATTCCAATACTAGATTACTATAATTTCATTATGAACTTTCATCTACAATGAGATAAAAATGATAATATGAAAATATGACATTATGCTGAATTATTGTTTTTTGACCAAAACCAGCCTGCTCACTCAGTGGTGTGAGCGTGGAAACACAAAAGAAATGATATATAAAATGAAAGGGCGTCACCCGTTTAATACGGTTTTGTTTCGTCAAAAAAACTTACCTAAACAGGAAAGAAATATAATCGACAATTATAAATAACAACCGACCATAATCAACAATTAATGTCCAATAAAAAAATTCATTTACTTGATATCATTTGTCCAGTACATGTTGTAAACTCTGTGGATATTTGCATTAATCTCACGACATATCGTTCATATATCAATCTCCAAATATAGCTATAATTGACTCACAAAATGAAACTCTTATTATTATAACATAAGAAAATATGGTCTCATATATTCATGTGATAATAAAATTTATATAATTAATGAATGGCCGGCAGTGGTATTCTTGGTTTTTGCAGTATCGTAGCAGCAATCCCAGCGGCAGAAGTTATAGATAAACAATGGAGAAAAACTCGCTTACCGGACGTATTCTTCTTGTAATATTGTAAAAAAAAAATGGAAAATAGTCCTCACCAATAAGTCCTCACGCAATAAATTGAAAGTGATTTGTGGCGCATTCAAGGAAATGAAAAATCCAAAACTGGAACACTAAAAATTGTACCATTTGAATCATAGCATACAACACATCAAGGGAGGCAAAAGATTAGTTATTTTCATTGTTTGTTTTTGCCTTACCTCAATATTAGAGGGTTCATTTACTCTATGGTAGATTCCAAAAGAAAATGATGAGACAAGAATGTTTCCTCCAGTAGAGTTCAGTCCACAAAGCCATAAAAATCAGTAAATTTCAGGATTAGTATCAATTGGAGCATCTAACTAATTCCTATATGATGAGTTATATCTGCAATAATCCTCAATTCGATAAAACTTTATAACTATACCCAGTCGCTGATCTCTTGAATACACTAAATTACTGACTGAGTGTCCTATTTTTACCGTGTACCAAGAATTCCAAAATTCGTGGGACGAGTGTTAAGTCAATATTTGCTTGAAGGATTCGAGGAGATGAGAGACAACACTTTACCGTTTCTCTGTCTTTGTTGAATTCACGCCTTTCATTCAAAAGAATAGGGTAGGCGTAGCGCGGACATAGATTGTATTCGATAGATCGCACGGAGACTAATGAATAATATACAGGGAGATTTATAATTATATTGTTGAAGGGAAAATTATTGAATGGTTATTTTATTAACTTCAGTTACCAACGTGAGGAAATAAGTTGCTTATTATTAGGAATTTAATTATAATAAGACTACTGGGAAAATGGCCTGTAACAATATCACAAAAAAATCATTCAGTTTCTTGTGCTGCGGTGAAAAAATAATCTAAATAAAGGATTTCTAGTTAATATGGCACACTTTCTAATCTCGGCTCTTTCACAAAGATGACAATTATTGTTTGTTGAATTATGGAAGAAAACTGGTATAGACTTTGAAGTCTTCTAGTTCAAGTTACAGATGGAATGGGCAAATCCGCGAAATCGTCCAATAAAATAGCAATACTCTCTTTATTTTCCCCTCACCTTCATTGAAGAATGGTTTATCACATATGTGATGAGAATATGCAAGGTCATATTCGGCTTGTTTTTGATTGATAAGAGGAAGCATCTGCTTGTCATATTTGAAGTGGATTTTATAAGCTGTTTTATCTAATTCTTTCAAACTTTTCCACTACATCAAGTCCTTCTTAAGAAAGACATTGCAAGGACTTATCGTCAAAATGACCCATTAGATAAAATATGAGTGTAGCTGGTGTTCATAGAGTTTTTCGGTGAAAAATGGATCATAAGAAGGTTATCTGTGGTTTATAGGTTTTAATATACTCTCAAAACCAACATAAATTAATGACGAACGGAACTTGAATCTGTTTCTCACAAATAATAAATTTAAAAATATTTTCTGGTATTGACTAGTAGTAACAACATACTGGTAATTAATTTAATGATGCTCATTATGCAAGGTAATAGTTCGGCTACATGGATCAGTTATCAGTCATGTAGTAAATAACAATAAGAAAATTAAAAAAATACTAGTAATTAATTTAATGACACTCATTACGCAAGGTAATAATTCGCCCAGATGCACATAAAAACATTAACCTAGTTGTAAGAGCTAGTATTAGTCATCTGATTATGCTAACTTGGTTAGCAACGAGTTAGAGAAAAGTTTTTCAATAGACTGATAGATTAATTAAAAAGGGTTCAGTGAGCTGATCACTGAATACAGCTCTCATATCTCTCGCATTTCCACACTATCTCCCAAATTTTTTGGATATGCTCTTGTTCCACTTCAGTTTATTTCTAAGTTTTTCTTGATGATTCTGAATCCAATATAAGGAAATATTGAGCGAATGAACTGATAAATTGTAAGATTTGTGTGAGCAAGTGCTTGCAAACGTGATTCTCTTGCCATTTTCCAAATGAAAAATTTAGTGCAGTTGAAAATTTCCCCTTTTGAAATTTCATCACTTCAAAATCTGACGCTAAGTATAAGTATTCTGTCTTTATGGAAATTTGAAATTCTGTGTGCCTTCGTAAGATCAACGTCTCAAGCAACAAATAAAATCTGTATAAATCCATTCCTTTTGAAAAATGGTTTTTGTGGTTTGTACCGATAATTCACTCCATTTGATATTTTATCATACTAAGAAGATATTTTGTGTTTTCTCAATTGAGCTTGTACAATCATTGGGTATTATTTTTTATGTATATTCAATATTTCATGATCGATTTATTCTTTTCTGTTTGCTGCTGTTTGTTTTATTCATAAAATTTGGATAAATTTCATTTATATTTTTTTAATGAGTTTCTACGATTAGTCAAATTCAAACTTGATAGAACTGCAGTTCCTAATTTACATTTTTTGTTCCAGAAAGTTCAAAAAAGGGAGATACTCATCCACGCTTAGAGCCTTTTAGCCCAGGACAAGTATACAATAAGAGCAAAGGGAAACAATTGCACGTAATCGCAAGTACGAGCGAAGGTTAACGATAACCAAAAATACATTTTTGTCATACTCATAGAGGGCAAAATTTACGATAAGCTAGATAGGACTCGTTTTCGAAGCCATTTTTTTCTTCTTTCAGTTGCGACTGATTCAGTGCCAATATTGCTGAAAATGCCTTTTTTGATTAGTTTTATTTTTTTATATCATCACACCACGTTCAAAAAAAGTTGAAGCTCAATTAAAAAATGGATTACGCTGCAGATTTAAGGATTATAAGTTAGGTAAAAGTTTATTTTTTTGTATGTTAAACAATTTTTATCATTTTGTTGTATATGTATATTGTACTATTGGTGTAAATATTTTCTTTATTTATGAAATGATAAAAATAAAGTGTATATTTATTATTTGTTATACAACAGCTCTTATTTACTTGTATTCAAATCATCGTGTACCCAGGATATGTTTCCAACAGAATCCAGTCCGCTAGTCAGGCAGCTGAACATTTCTGGGATATAAATAAAATGGTAATATAATATTCATATATTTAAAAGATAAAACACCGTAAAATGAAATGAGTAAAAATCCATGCACAAAAATAAAGCATAATTAATATACATATATAATAGATCTCTACTAAAAATATATCATTATATACACACATTCTATCTCTATACAAGTGAGTTACTTAGCTTTTTTCATCACAAGTATTGTTCAATATCGAGCATCTTACAGTCATGTTTTGTTACTTCTTTGTATTTATATACAGGGTTAGAAATAAGCATAACAAAAACGCCATCTATGAGGAAGCCCGCCGATGAGAAATCGTTTTCCTTTCCTCCGCAGCATCCCTGCCATCATTCAAGTTGACTTTAAAATAGAACTCAATTGTCATGATCATTTCCTTCTTGTATTGTTTTTGTTGATGCCAGCCGAGTTCAAACATCAAATTCATGATCCAGACAAGTACCAAGGTATATCAAAACAATGCTATTCGATTGAGTCATAAATGTAATACTTTTAGGCTCTGATTTTTGTATAGCAAACATCATCGGAAGCAATGAAGCAGCGGATGAAGTGCCCTATTTGAAATTAAAAGTACTATTGAGGTGGAATAGAGCACTTCAACATTGCGACATTGCTTTTCATTTTGTTTACCGCATTTGCAGACAAAAAGTCAAATCATAAAAACCTGGAAACTATGCTCCGCAATAAGAAATATTATTTACATTGGTTACACTGGCCCTGAAAGCTTAAATTTTATTATATACAAATTTGTTTACGAAAATATTCAATTGAAACATTTTTCAGGAAGTGTTTTTATTCTGAAATTTGATAGTACATGTGTCGTGGTTAGAAATTATTTAAATCATCTCGTATAATATTCCCGTACATATATCAATTTCCAATACTATGAGCAAAATTCCCACAAATGTTCACCAAGTAATGGTGAACACCCACGAATTAGTTTTTGTTGAATGGTGGCTAAAAAATTTACATTGTATAGATTTATAGTTCTTACCACAAAGTTTAGGGATTTCAAAACAAAAACTTTGTCACAATTTTGTCACATCTCATGGGTGAGTGAAAACATTGCTTTTTAGGAGAATTTGTTGTCAAATAACTTGTTCCATTTCAGTTGAATAAATAATTGAATTTTAGACCCTTCAATGCAAAAAGATAATGCTGAATGTAACTGGCCAATACTTGATAAAAATCCATACCAAAATTTATACAGTTTGATCGGAGATTTTCACTAAGGAAGGTCCACAAAATCTCACCGTACACTGTATCGGGTTTTTTTGAAAGAGGAAACATATTTTTATTGTGAATTCTAAAATCTTGTATAATTATTAGCCATTTCATTTTTCCTGGGTCCGATTTCAACGTTTTCCCTAATATTTTGGAAATTACCGTTAAAACAGAAATTGGCCTACAATTACAACTTTTGCTGTCAATTTTAAATATTGGTGAAAATTTGGCTGCTTTCATTTTTTCAGAAAAAATCCCTCTCTCAAAAAAACGCTTTTAAAAATGAACAAGGTAAAATAATGAGAGTCATTTCAGTCCAAAATCAAGAGTAATGCAAGATTGAATTTAAATAATATGCACTCAATGAATATCTATTTCTCTTCTCTTGTGAAGAAGACAAAAATCCTTTTTTTATCTTGTACTCTCGTTATTATATATCATATAATTTAACACACACACACCCACTATGTTTATGGTAGGAATGAAATACCAAAATATATGTAATAACAAAAATGGGTACAGTGGCAGCATCCTTCAACCAGATGATTTTCTCATGAGAATTTATCTAATTGATAGCCACGATACTCTGTAAGTGACTTGGGGGATTATTCTGCTATTGACTGGAATATTTTTCAAAATTAAACATGACAACCCATTATATGTATTATGTTACTAATACAAGGGGAGTTGAGTAGAAGAAAGGAGACATATCTAATTCTAGGATAACCCAAAGAGAAAATCTATGCGATAATACTCTCAGTGGATTGATTGTGTCCAAAAACGGTACTAAATTCTGTTATGAATGGTTAATGAACATCCAATGATATTTAACAAATCTATAAAGTGTGTCACATAATATAAACTTCTAAACAACCTATGTTTGACAAAGAAGTAACCAACACCAATAGCACATCATCACAATGCTTTGAAATGCTCGGATGAATAATAAGACTTGTGACTATAAATCAGCGTTCCCTCTTTCTCTCGACAATCAACAAAAAAAAACATAAATTAAAACATAGCTCAAAAAGTCAATTTAAAAATATAGAGGATGTTGTGCCTATAATGTACATACTTTAAATACACTTAAAATTACTGTGACAAAATGAACGCTGGAACTGTACCCGTTCTGTCACAGAGTCAACAATAAAAATAACTGTTAAAGCTTTCGACAATTTTCAGCATAAACTTTTAGTAATTCTGTACAGGACATTATCACAAGTATCTGGTTAATCCAGATTCATAATCAATTCATACATAATTTTCAAACGTATTAAAATGAAATTGAATATGTGATTACTTTTTTCGTTGAATTTTCCTGAGTAACCATGAACTCTCAGATCTTTGAACACAATTGAGAAATGATTGAAACAACTCTCCTTTGGTTACTTCATTTAGTCCAATTTGCTTGTGAATGAATATTTCTTGGTTGCTTTTTCAATTTTCTCAATGTCTAATGAGGACAAACGTTAGAATGTTACATGACAAAAATATCCCTAAATATCTCACTAAAACACTGATGTCAAAATGTTGAATAGTTACTTCACCAATGTCAAATCAGTGAAGTATTTCCCAAACCATAAGTTTACTAATGTGATATTTTTTTCCTTATTCATTAAATGTAGCCTTTCCTTTCACAATGATATGGAGAACATAAATAATGAGTCTTAGTTATACAATGGACATGACAAAGTAATAGAAACCAAAATCAACATATTTTTCGTAACCATTAATATTGTAAGACTCTTTAAAGAGTTATAGGTATATATAAATTTTGGAATGTATAAGTCAAAGTTATGCTATAGCATAACTTTATAACATATTAGAAAGTTATCAATAAAATATTTTCAGGTGGACTGGTGAAGCTATGATATAGTTAAACTCTTTTTGATTAAATTTTATACTGTAAACATTTTATAATCATTATCATGTAAGTAAGGGGTCAGTATATTCATGATGTAACTGAATCAGTGAGTTTTGATATGAATTTTCATGAAGTATAGGCCAGCTCCATTTCAATTCCTATATTTGTAGCAATTTTTCTTTAGTAATGATCACACAATATCGCAAAATTGAAGTTTCTTTTTATATTCCGAAGGGGCTAGGTAATTTGATAATCATCAAAAAATTAATTTTATTACCCTCTTGATTGTCTATGAAATGAAAATAATTGTTATCTTCATATATAACAGCTGATTATCAAAAACTTCAGCAAGTATCTGATATGTGTTGATATCACAAATCTTCTAATATTTCCAGTGATGTTTTTCCACATTGTACAACTTTCAAAGGTTTGCGAGAAACTACTTTTATACCCGCCCCCATTTCAGTTTTCATGGTGTTCATTAGGGAGTCAATAAGTAATAAAAAATACTAGTTGTGGTTTGAGAAAAATGAGCTGGTATTAAATCAAAATACATGTAAATGAAATCTCTGTTAATTCAAAATACATTTGAAGTTCCTAATTATAAAGTCATATAAACTTCCTGAATAAGATTCAAAATTTCCTATGAGCTTAAAATTAGGGAAGGTTAATCCATTTACAAGACTAAATCAATACCAGCTAATTTCGTTCAGGCCAGTCTCAACACCAATTCTATTTTTATCGGTGTTTGAAACCTAGGGCCAAATACAAAGCATAACTGATCCAACAATAAAGAACGCTGTTTCTACCTGCCATAGCTGTTTTCTGTGGTGTTACGCGAAGATGACATGCATAAAAACTCAAATCTTACTTAACTACGATAAAAAATGATTGCAAAGCTAAGTATCAATATCAATCTCCAAATTCGGACACGATCCTCTTAATAGAATTTCTTACCCTTCGTTTTTTGTGGCTTTATCTATCGGTGATTTTGTTGCTTTATCTATCGGTGATTTTGTTGCCAAATCTTCTTTCACAAATTTAATGCACTCTTCTGAGTTTATTTATGCACTTCACCAAAGTCCGATACAGATAACTTTGACGCACAAAACTGGATAATGCGTTGCATAACAAGTAGAAAAAAGACCAAAGTTTTTGAGTAAGTTTCAACCACAAAATTTTGATCATCAATCAGAGCCAACCTATTTCAACATCAACGTCTGTTTTTAATAATCTTGACTTTGACTTTTTATAGTTTTTCCAATGTGTGTTTCCCATTTTAGATCATTGTTTATCATAGCACTTTTTGGTGCTTTACGGGTTTCAGAACACCCTTAATGAAACAACTCTTCTGGGTTATTAGAACCAAGATGAGGAACTCTTCAATTTTGCTCATTCAGATCCAGGAGATACTTTTGACACCACTTTTCTACTAGTGTTTTTATCCAGGTTTGGGTTCGCATACAGTGAAATTATCTGCTAACAAACCTATTGAAAAGCAGTGGGCTGCTTACAGATCTCTGTGGAACACCACTTACTGCCTGAATATGGTTTCAATATCTTCACAGAAATATATTTTCGATAAAAAATATCGAATCCATCATAGCACGGGATCAGTAACACCAAAATGGTGTAGTTTATGTAGAAGTCTTTCATGCAGGAGTCTGTCAAATGCTTTTTTGAAGTTGCAGTAGATTACATCGATAAGACGACGCACGTCAACTTTAGAAGTGTAATAAATTTGAACTAGTGAACCACTGAGAAATCCATGTTAATGGTTTTTTAGTACTTCAGTCTCTAGAAAAAGGTAGTTAGTTCCTCGGTTATTATTCTTTCCATGCATTAGCAGTTGTATTCCTATAGTAACATTGTCTGAAAGCAAGTGTATCAAATGCGACGAAGTTTTTAAACCAAACCAGTTGTTTTCATATGATAGCTGCAAAAACTACTATATGCCACATGTGGAGACCTCATTTTTTCCGAAATTAAATTCCCAGCATCAAAGACAAAAAGAAGATGGAGGAATGTGAGTCTGGGTTTTGGAAATTATTTCTTCATATCAAAACAGCTCAATGAACTGCAAAAGGAAGCCAATCTTGTAGAAAAAGTTAATAATGACTTTCAAACAAATAAATATTTCCCGTCCTCATCTCCCCTATTCATTCATAATAACTTTCTGACTACACTGTATTTTTATTTTGGAAACGGTAAGCCTCATATTCAAAAAAAGAGAGCTCTATAGATTTGAAAATACCTTCGGTACACATCAAATTCATGACGTACCTCTGCCCACTCCAACAACATTGTTAACAAAACTTCTGGACTTGTTTTTTATTTCATATTGTCATTAATGATTTCTTTTCATTAACATATAATTGTTTTATAATTGTATTGTACACTCATACTCCGTCAATACTATATATTTCTTAGACAATAAAGTTCAGTGATTCATTAATGACTATGAGAACTTTACTCAACAATTTTCCCCACTATTAAATTTTTCATCCTCCGACTTGTGAAAACATGTTATTTTAGCTTAATATATTTCTCAAGTGAAGATGTTCACTTTATATAACAAAATCGTTAAAAATTATAATTTATAACACAATTTCCCATTTCACCTCATATTTAACAATTCTTGACTGTATTTTTATTTTTTGTTTTCACCTAAAGTGAATTTATATTTATATGTAGTAAAAGTGTAAAATCTTCACATATAGTAAGGGGACACACTGGAAGACTGGCTGTCAATCAAATTATACAAAAGAACAATTTGTTCAGGCCAGTGTCAACTCACCTACTCTGTAGGTTAATGGACTGTAGTTGTTTTCTGATAGGTTTCTGAACGAATTGTTCTTTCAGATGATTTGAAAGTGTTATATCTCTTAATTGCCTCATAATAATATCAGAAATTCGAAAAACAGCATTCATACGAATCCCAGGTACGTTTGGATATTTATTGACAAGAACAGAAAATCTCATGCTGTAACAAATCATTTGTTTTATGGATTGAAAAACTCAACTGATACGAATAATATTGTTTATCTATTCTCAAAATTCATTTCTACCTTTTACACTAGAGGTAATTTAAATAATGTTTCCACTTAGTATGTCTATTAGCATTGTGGATATTGTTGATAGAATACAAGAGATTTCATCAAAATTTTCATTTGTTCCTGATAATGGTTCAACAATTACTTATTAACAAAGCGAATTCCTCAATAAACTCTAATAATTTTTTTATATATACCTTTCTTAATCCCCATTTTCAAGAAAGTATCAGAAGAAAATGTTGAAAACTACCTAGCCATGAGCATCCAATCAGAAACTAGAAAATTAATTGATTTCTTTGTTAGAAAATATTTCATCATGGGAATTTAAACATTATGGGTTATTGTACTACACCAGGACACCATTATTCACACTTAGAGGAAGGACATCAGGTTGACTTGATCTACACTTACGTTTCTAAAGCTTTTTATAGACTTAATTACAGCCAAGAAGCTTGCATTTTTAGAAATTAAAGAGCCTTTACTATCATTGATACGAAGCTCTTTGCCTCATGAAACTAGAATGTTAAGATTGGAAATTGTACATCACAAGTGATTATTATTCCTTCTGGAGTACCGCAAGGTTCCCACACAGGACCTATATTTTTCAGCTCGTATATCAATAATATTTCTAAGATAATCAAACACTGCTAGTTCTTACTGTTTGAAGAAAATCTTAAAGTCAAGAAACTGGATCACCAACCGACTATAACCCATCCAAGAATATCTGGAAAATATCAAACTCCATGTCACTGAATATCAAAAATTGTTTTTGTATAACAATTTCCAAATTTTCCACATCTGATCTGTAACCTTATTTAATAAGCTCCTCATCACTAACAATAGTCAACGAATTCGTAATTTTGACGGATATCACATGTGAGAGATCAATATATTAGAAAATGTTCAAATGTGTTGAATCAAATGATACAAGATTCATGTGAAGCATTGATTTTTTTATATAGTTTGATATCAAATAAAATTGACTGTTCAGCAGTACTCGACAATATCAATTTCAATCCAGTAAAACGCAATAGAAATTCTGAGTTGTTTTATGTTGAGAAATTACTTCTATTTTTGTCGGATTTCTAGGAAGATGAGGAAAGCAAACCATCTGTCTGAAAGGTTAGATTTATTCAGTGCACCTGGTGCAACCTTCAAATCGAAGTTTATATCAGCTTTAACATATTATTGTTTTCTGTAAATTTTAATATTTGTATTTTTTGTATACTAGGATAATATTAGGATTAGTATGTATGATATATATGGTTCAAACCATTGAAGAATATGAAGAAATATGAATCGGTGTTTTAAAAAATGATTTGGTGTTGATTTCCTCCTATGAAGTGACTAATTTTTCCTAATTTGAAACTTAGATGAAATTTAAAAAAAAATATAATTCAGACAATTCACCAAAATAAGTGATACCAAGAGGAAGAATACATTTATTATTTTTGGGCTCTGATTTCATCTAGGCGCCTTGCAGTAAAAGTTGCAGAAAAATTCCTAACGATGTTGATGCTTGGCTTTGCAACCATTGTTCATTTCTTTAGTATGTTCGCAATTAAGAACTAGTTTTCTGGAGAACTTCAAATGGAATTTGAATTAACACAGATACTCTTACTCAGTTTGAGGTCAATACCAGCTCATTTTTCTCAAACAATAACTCGTATTTTTATTGCAGACTGATCCTCAATTAAACACTGGTAGAGTCAAAATGGGAACTCAACATAAAATTACAAGTTTTCCTAAAACTATCAAAACTTGTTTTCAAACACATTTCAGGTACTTGGTGAAGAGGTAGTCTTCATGTGATTAACAGAGCCTTAATAAAAAATAATAATTCATTAGATGATCATAAAATTACTAGAATTATCAGAAATCTCAGGATTTTTTATGAACATTATTAATCAAAATTTGGTACAGTATTCAAAATTTCAAAGTGGAGGGATATTCTAATGGTGAATTGAAAATTAGGAAAAATTTACAATATTTCTGTAAATAAAGAAGAGGCAGTCAAAAAGATTTTTTTTGTATATCTTTGGAACTATAAGAGCTATAGTTGATTTTTCAGTATCATTTAATGGTGCCTGAAAATAGTCAATTTTGCCACACTACATTATCTTACTGTCTACAAGATCAGTATGTATAAAACATATTAATTTTTTCATGAAGAATATATATGAAATATATTTGAATGGACTCAATGATGAAATGTTTGAGCTAAAGGAGTTGGTTGAATATTATATTGAAGATGAAAAACTTCTCGTTGACTCTGATTTGAGCAAATATTCAAATAATGTATGGAACATAATGGAATCGAAAAATAAAGGACACATCCAACCAGAAGGATCGACTTCACCAGTACACCGATAAGTGACATCTTCAGGGGGCAACTAAAGTCGAGCATTCATCGCAACGGGGACTACATTACTGAGAATATCCAGCCTTTCCTCACCCTGCCACTCAACATTGAGAAAGTGAAGACTGCTAGAGAAGCGCTTAAGGTACTCAAGAACAGTTTAGAGGGGCTGACTTCGTCGAAAACAAACGAGAAGGTCAAATCGTGGGAGCAAATTATGCTCTGTAAACTTCCCGTTATCCTCATTTTGCATCTGAAACTTTTCGAATACAGCCACGACCGTTGCACGAAGGTTATCAAAAGGCTTTGGATTTTGAATTCGTCTTTGGTATCGTCGAAAACACAGTCTCCAACAGAGAAGCAATACAAGCTATTCGCCGTCGTTTATCAAGAAGGCAAAAATGCCAACATTGGACACTACGTGACGGATGCCTTCCAAGTCGGCTACAACTGCTGGATAAGGTACGACGATTCTTCGGTCAAGACCGTGCAGGAAGAATATGTACTGAAACCTCTGGGAAAGCGAGTTCCTTATTTGCTGTTCTACAGTAAAAGCGATATGATCCCCCCTAGTATAGATTTTTACCTTCCACAATCTAAAAATAATTGCATATGAAGGAACACATACATTTTTGCATATTGAATAAATATAATTTTTTGTGGAAATCATAAATTTTTATCGACCTTCTTTGAATATTTTCTCCTTCCACAATCTGAAAAATATGAAAAGTGTAATGGAGAACTTTACATAAATGTAGAAAGTGCAAACTTTTTAGTTCACCCCGATTATTTTTTATATAAACATTGAATGTTGACATGACATTTGTACAAAATGTAAGAGAATGAACTGTGATTTCCGTGAGTCTCAAGTGACGCCTGAAGATCATATTGTATAGCGAAACACATGTCACGGTTTTATAAACTGTCAAGTGAAAATCTCACATTGAAGTCTTTTCTTGAATACGTTGTAGATTTTCATCAAGTATCGGTTAGTTGTATCATATTTCAGACAAAAACACATATTTTCAGGAATCATGAAAAATCTCTTTCTCAAAGTGAAAGAATTGAAAAAACTCTTATATAGTACTAGTCTGGAAAGCAGTTGACTTTGGATAGCTGGAAGATATCAACATTCTGAGTGTTATTCAAAATGTGAGAAATTTAAAAGTTTCAATTTGTTATGCTTCATATAGGTATATGAAATCGTCAGTTTCATGCCAATATATTAGTTATAAAAATATATTGTTTAATGTATTGTATCCTATTATAGTTGAATAATTAAAATTTTCAATTAATTCCTGTCAAACTTATTAAATTCTCAAAATGTAATATCTTGTATATGTTATTGCTTCAAATTTCAAATTCAACGGACTTTGATCATTATGTATAAACACGATTTTTATATATTGAATTGGCAAGAGGTTTTTCTTCATTTGTGATATACGAAGAAAAGTTATAATTGTTGAAAAAATCTGCTTCACTCAAAACGCACAACCGTCTATTTAAATCATACCTATATCTACAAGGTGGTCCAACAAATAGATAATGAAAAAAAAAATCAATACCTACATGTTTTCCCGAAAATGTATAATACTGGAGCTTCAGGCTCCTTAATCAGGACTACTCAAATATTGAGATGGCAATTGGAAGTAATATTTTTTCATGACTTCATAAAAAAAATCATTTCACCTGAGAGGACAACTAATTCTATCTTGAATTTGTTTTACTATAGGAAATGCGAGAAACTAATTTTACTCGACCCTTTTATTAAAGAATAATAAATCAATATTCGTCTGTGAACCGATTTTAGGAATGCAATGTCCATTTTGAATCAGTTCACATCAGAAGTCAAGAAAATAAAATGATTGATTACTCATCACATTGTCCAAGTATTTATTTTTTATGAAAAACTAATTACTCAAGGGTATTTGTTGTTCAATGCTATGGATTTGAATACACTTATTCTTTCAAGATAGATAAATAATCTGTTTCTGTTTGAATTAAAAGAGTATATTTTTAGGATTGATTAATTTCTGGGAAATAAAGTTTTTGACCTTGTATTTATCCATCTTGATCCAAAAAATGTGGGAATCTTCCAAAGAAAGGATTGAAGCATCAATTTCGAAACTTAACTCTATACAAAGATGTGTAGAGATCAGGCAAAGAAGTAACTTTCAATCACAAACTGGAAGAAAAGCCCTCCCGTTATGTTATTCAAGATATCAATGAATTTTCTGTTTAGAGGTATTTGAAGATAAGGTATTCAAAGATAATGTGATAAATTGCCTCATATTCTTCTATATTGTAAATAGTGTAGAACTCTCTCGGATCCGAATGATAAGTATTGTCGTAGTGGGAAACCCTTATTATTGAAACAAAACTTCTTTACGCGAGCTTGACTTGGGGAGTAAGCTGGTGAATGCGCGACGAAAGTGTTATGAAAAGTGTGATCAGGCGAGATACCCTGAAGTTGAGAGGTATAAGTTAGCGAAGATTGAAAGAGAGAGAGTTGCGTTGCATATATATCTCATATATTAGGAACAACAGAGAGTTGCGAGCACATATTTACAGTCGAGTAGGCTCTGATCTATCACTGCCACTAATTTTAGCAGGAGATTTCAATGTTAATTCACTGTAATCTGTAATTGCAAAAATAATTCAAAATCGAAATAGTTGTCACAGCAACAACTTTGATCGAAAATGACTTCCGTGTGTCAGTTGAAATCTGTTTTTCTGTTAATCAGCTGTCCCCCCCTAAGAACGATAATTCCCAGAAGTTAAAACTTGTGCGAAATCTTTCCTATCCACATGTGATTCTTAGCACGGATTTTAAGAACGAATAAAATATTTTTTCCATTTACCATCTTGATATTAGGGCACACTCAAGATTCAACAGTCTGTAACATCCATGGAATACATTTCTGAGAATACGTGTATTGAAAAATTTTTCACCATAAAATACGATTTTAAAACCTATTATACGGTACACAAGTTCTTTGTAAATTTAGGTTGAGAAAAAATCTATTTTCTGGATCACCCTGTAAATGAATAAAATTTAAATAGAAGAATAGGTATTCTGAGTAAAGCATATTTTTTCCATGAGTTTCATGATATTTTGAATATTTCTCAAAGATGTTCTAAATGTATTTTTAGTTAATTAATTGAAATTTGTCATTTTAAACAAAATTGACTTGAATATAGGATAGAGAAAATAACTTTTGTCTAATTTCCACTAAGATTTTTCTTTGTTACGACTTGTTTCAGTTTATTAAACCATTCTCAAGTAATCTGTCCTATCCTATATTGAATATGAATTTCCACAAAATGAATAGGTCATCAATTGAAATACATTTCAAAAAGTTCACAAAGATTAATCCAAACTCTTTTTTTTATACAAACTTAGTTGTTATAAATTTTCTTTCCAGGGAGATTTAAATTAGGCCCTCGCTACGATTCTTCTCGTAGAAAGTGAGCAAGTGGCATTTTCTTGCAATAATAGAATTATACTTCATTTTTTATTGCCAGCATACTTATAAAACCTTTAATATGTACAAGTTTTTTGACAAGTTAAACATCTGACTGATGTAATATCTATAAAACAATCACACAAAGTTATGGGATATTTTCAACTAAAGTAAGGGAATATCCACATCTAATCATCTATCACTGAGCTTACAACACGATTATTCTCGAATCAACAACTGCCTGCAGTTTGTTCGAGTCAAATATTTGATGACAAGTATATAAGAGTCATTTCCCAACCTATTTATCTCTCGTTTTCAAAAAATGATCAACATCTATTACTTCTACCCTATCATCTTCCACCTAAAAATCTCAGGATAAGCAACAGATATAATTCTACAAGAAAATTTGCGTGATGTGTGGAACTTATAAGTGCACGAAAGTCTGGATATCACAAACACAATAAAAACTCGTGTATATTTTCAGGGGATAAAAAATCGCTTGTCCTGCCAGTTCGTCACAGCCTTATTAATCAGAAAACACTTTTTATGAAGTCGCAAACATTCATAATTCTATCTTACCAGTAACTAGTTACATCTTATAATTATTCCTTAAAAATTTTCGTTCGCGTTTCTGAAAAAGCAAAAAGTCACTGTCGGAAAATTACAAATTTCCCAAATTGTGACTTTGTCACAAATTTTCCTGTAGTGCTATTTGGGAGACAGTTAGAACGGCTACCGGCAGTACGCTTCCAACATTTCTAAAAACAACTTGTTCATTGGAACTAGATCTTGTTGATGAACGTCTGACCAGAACCTTCTGACAATATAGTTCGCTTGTCGCAATGCGGGCAGGCACAGCAACATACTGAGACAAAAAGCTGGAAAATTGAGCTCTCTCTTTCTTGATCTTTTGTTACAGGAAGGACAGTTGAGGTTGTTTAGTCGATGTTCATCTCCTCAGTTCACACATGTTATTTTCAGGACAGTCTCAGGAGGAAACTATGCGAATTCTGCTTTAGCTTCTCAAGAATTTCATGCAAAGCAGATTCATAAATAATCCCACTTTTGAAGAGGCGATAAATAAGTTCCATGCTGAACCACCATCTCTTGATCCGACGTTATAGGGAAGTCAGTTGGGGTCGCTACATTTATATTTTTTTTTAAGACAAAACACAAGCACTACACGAAAATCCTTAAGGCGCTCTCAGAGCGGTGCCTGTGCGAAAGTAGCGATATTATTAAGAAATCTATTCTGAAATAAGGACTTTTCCCAAACACCAGAACTGCCAACAATCTTCTCGATGCGCGTTTCACCAACCAAGTCGGCGTCTTTAGGAGATGATAATTTGCTTCATCTCTTGAAAATGCCAAAACAAGCACTCCTCCCAAACACCAGAACTGCAACACTCTTCTCGACGCACATTTCAACAACCAAGTTAGCGGATTCAGGTGATGATAGTCTACTGCATCATCAGAAGGAGTCAATTTGGTTGGTGAAACGCGCGTCGATAAAAGTGTTGCCGTTCTGGGGTTTGATAGAAGTGCTTGTTTTGGATTTATTCTACGCCAGAGGTTCCAGTTTTATCTTTTATTGGAAGCTAATTCTATATATTTCTAATATTTTTCATTTACTGAAGTTGTGTCTTTACTGTAAAGACACAACTTCACATTTCTTATCAACAAAGACATTGTATAGGTAAAACAGATTTAAATGTTAAAAACAATAAAATGGCACTGTTACAGAATATTATAAAATGAAGTCAGTGCTAGCTAGTAAAATGAATAAGTAGGTACAGTCACATGATGAAAACATATTAAAATCAATACTAATAAGGAGACGAACGTATTTTAATGGTAACAAAAAGTTTCCCTACTAAAAAATTCCTCCATATTGTAGAATGGATGAGTGAATAGCAGTTCTTCAACATGTTTTTTAAACAAACCTAAAGATTCAATTTCCCTTAAGCTTAGTGGTAAGAAATTAAAAATTTTCTGTCCATAATAAATGAGAGATCCCTTAACAAGATTGTTTATTGGTAGAGGTAGAGGAAATCTGAATTTTTGCGATGATCGCCTGTTATGGTATGAGGGCACTGTAATACTATTCTTGTGTATTAAGCAAGTGGTTTCTAACATAAAGATTGAAGTAACTGTAAGGATTCTATTATTTTTTAAAAGGTCCCTGCAAGAATCACGCATTTTTACTTTACAGAGAGCCCTCATAGCTCTTTTTCATTCAACTTACACCATATGTGAGAGTTAAAAAATATTAGTGGTGTTTTTTCCAACACCAAACCATTATTTCAACACCTCAACACATGATCTTCCTCTTGAAGATGATCACTTGGTGATCGAAACACGTGTCGAGGTAATAAAATAATGGTTTGGTGTTGGGAAAAAACTCCGGTAATATTCATTAGCACACCAAAGGTTTCAAACAGGGCATCACAAGTATATGTGAGAGTTGTTTGTTGCACACTCTCTCCAGAAGGCTATGCCATAGACTAGGCGGGCTTCAATAAGAGGAAAATAAGCTGTTTTAGCAGCTGTAAAACCCAATTTATGTGATATCCCAATGGCGTAGCATCCAGATGACATTTTTTTTTCACAATTTTGTGACATGGTCGTTAAATTTTAATTTATTATCAATGTGAAATCCTAGAAATATGGNCCCGCGGGTCGTAGTTTGGAAACCCCTGGATTAGACTTAATAGCATTGAAGACAAGCAGGTTATCGTTACACCAGGTTTCAATTTTTTCAACGTCTACTTATATCTTGTGATATAATAAGTGCTCATCATTATTATGCCAAAATATGGTAGTATCATTGGCAAATAATGTATACTTTCCAGATTTATTAAATTTTGTGTGATCATTTATATAAGTAAGGACAGTGTGAGACCAAGCGCTGAACCCTGTGGCACAAATTGAGTTGCCTCCATTCGAGAGAGATGAGTAGTTTTCACCATTAGTGAGCAATTTTCTAGGTGTGATTCGAACCACTGCTGGCTGATTCCTCTAAAACCATAGTATTCGAGTTTGCTCAGCAGAATTACAGAGTCAAATGCCTTGGATCAGTCACAGAACACTGCTGCGGCATAAATTTCATCATAAGCACTGTAAGCACTGTGCAGTGTGATGCACTGTTTGGAACCTTCACCATTGAATCAACAAAAGAGAACGTCCATTTTCCTCACCTTGCAAGTATTGGCCTCATTGTTTACAATATCGATGAAGTCCAAACAACTAATGCAAATACTCATTATCTTCATCATGACAATAACAATCATAGCCAACTATATAAAATATTTTAAAAAACAAAAAATTCTTAAAAATAATTCCCAACTTATAGATTATATGACCAGCTTTCACTTAATATTGTCAATGACACTCAATATAATATTTTTATCAATAATGATGCTTTCAACAGAAATCTGATAAACTAATTTGCGATTTGAAAAATATTTTTTTTTAAGTAGGCAAGAACGTGAATTGTACAAAATTCATAATGCCTGTCTTTAAGTTAATAAGGCGGAGTTACAACTTCGCCTAATTATTTCTGATATGCTAACTTGGCTAGCAAAACGTGCGTTGAGAGACAGTATTTTATTCTGGTGAAGGAAAAGTGTTCGCAGTCAAGGTTAGACGAAAAAAAAAAACAGAATTACACTTTTGAAATCAGTAAAATGAATAAACAGTACTTTTGTTTGAAGGTGGTCGACAATGTTTCATGGTGCATAAATGTTGTCCAACATCGCATTTAGCCAAGCCAGCGTAGAGATACGCAACATATGGAAACCTCTAATTAACAGGAACACGACCAACTACCGCCAAACGGTCAGTTTCCGCTAAAACCGATGAAGCGGAGAGAGGTGAAAGCACTCGAATGACCTATAAATAGTCAGATCTCTGAGGAATAAGTCCAATTATCACCCGAAGAGGATTGTGGATATTAACAATCGAAACGTCGTGAAGTAACGTCGTGAAGTAGTTGTATTTTATTTCATTGTAATTTCAGTTTTTTTGCTTAATATAATTGTTATTTTTCAGCTAATCAATTCATATCATATTAGACAATGGAAGTCCGAACTAATGAAATAAACAGTACTTTTCTTTAACCCCGACAAATTCAAGCAAATCAATACAATTATAACATTAATTATGACAAGAATACATTTTAATGAAGAAACAACGCTTCCATCATTCATATGATATCCATATGTAAAACTAATGAATATTTGTGGATTTTATTAATCATGGATATTTGCCTCTATACTGCCTTTGTTTAGGAGGTAAAGTGTATTTTTTATTCAATTCTCTGTTATATATAGATAGTAATAGACCAGCAGTACAAAGACTGAATGATACATGGTTCATAAATAAGAACAATTAATTAACTAATGTGTGTATGACAGATTGTGAAAATGTTAAATCTTATGCTTTACGCATAAATGTTTCCCCATCAAATCCGTCATTTCAGAATTGGATTATGTGGCCTAGCCAATCTACAAAAAAAAATCAAAATCAACTCAGAGAAGTACTTGTGATGATTCCATTGGCAACTTATTTAAAAACTATTCAAAATATGATATAAAACCAAAATATTTATTTAAGTATTGAATTGATGATTTTGATAACTCCCAATGAAAAAAAAATGTGTTATCATTTTATTTAAGTAGCAGAGTTAATAAGCATAACTCAGATACAGGGTGATATACAAAGACAATGAATAAGTTTAAATAGATATAGGAAATAGGTCTAAACAGGAAGAAAATAAACCAGAATTTAAGGCTCCATCTATGAAAATTATACGGAGCGTTGAACAGGACACACAAACCAGAACAACAACAAACAAGCTAAACCAAAAATACAACGTGAAATTCAGCAGATGCAAAAGGAAAAATGATAAGACAAGAGTCAGAAAGCCCAAGACAACATTCCTGGAAATGCATATAGACTCCAAAATTTCTTGGGAACCTCAACTGGACAACATGTGCAAATTAATGAACAGATTATTCTATGCCCTACTAAAACTAAAGCATTTGAAAACTAATCATGTGCTAAGCCTACCTGACTTTTTTTGGAAATTTAATGATATGTATCACAAAAATTTGAACTGGAAAAATGGTACACGTTTCTATTTTGACAAACCAACTATTTAAGTAAAGGCAATGACGTCTCCCCTTATAAAGATGTCATCTATGATTTCGACAGAAGACTCAATTCCACGAATATCACAGATGAATGAAGCTGCCCAAACAGGTCGAGCTTAGACATGGATCACCGAACGAAATTCGTCCTTTGGTTTTTAGCGCAGTTTTTACTGCAAGGCAACTAGATGAAACCAAAGAACAAAAACCGGTGTTGGATCACCAATGCTTTGTTTTTGGACTCTGATTTCATTCACCATTCAACTTTGATTGAATATAAGAGAATAACTTCAACAAAAAGATATTGAATGAAATAAATGAAAGTAGTCTCACCTGAGAATGCCTATAGCGTCTGATAGGGCAGTTAAGATGGAATCCCTAAATTTTTTCAGCGAATGGTACTGTTCTATTTTCACATCAGAATTGGTGAGAACTAGGGCTTTCAGGAGGTAATATTCTTCTTTCGATATTGATAGATTATCTAACCTTTCGACGACATGGCAACACTGAAAATGAAGTTTCAATTTACATAATTTCTTTCATTGTCGATATACTTTTATTCAATATTTTTCATTTTCATGTTCTTTTTTGAAATTTTTACCCATAAAGAAGTTAATGCTGGAATCATGACTGCAAAGTCTACAAATAGAATGCGTTACTTTCAAGAATTAGGTACAAAAGCAGGTGACAATATGGAAAAAGTTTTTTACAAGAAAACAAAAAGGAAAAATAAAAAGTTGGTGTCACACGACTGGATTCGAGGATTGAACATGATGATTTGAAAAGTTTTGGTAAAGCATTTCTTAGAGGTGACACCCGTCTGAAATTCCTAAACTATATGCATTCATGAATGTTAGCATCAATCAGAATTTTTTTGCAGGGCATCGAATCAATGAAGAATGGGCAAATGGGACACTTTTGTCACTTTTTGTATGAAAAAACGGACAACACTACAAACACAAGGCTGATTAGTGAATCCAGTGAGGGTTTTGAGAATGAAACGTACATCTGAAGAAGTTTGTAGTGTGTTTAATATGATAGTAATGTTTATTATAGACCATTTAGAATGATTTTCAAATAACAATAAAGCCTTCATGCTACACTGTTCTACATTAATAGCTATGAAGCTTAGGTATAAAAACATTTTTATCAGACTAGTTTTATTGGACTCTCATTCTATATTATCCAGTGAATAAGGATATATTATATTTGCAGTTATTGAGATAATTACATATTTCTGATGTATCGAAGTAAAAACTGTTGATGACAAAGTCTTCACAATAAGGATCATGTCTAACACCTTCTAAGTTAATCACTTTTACTCACTGTCTGATAAAGTTCCAGAGTCCCGCAATCCCTCGACTGCTTCTCATCCAGTATGAAATCTGTCGCAAACTGCAACCTTCCTAATGTTTGCCATAATTTGTATGATGGAAGGGTATATAAGGGTTTTGTAGGGAAATTAATATTTCTGGCTAATTTTTTGAAAAATGAACAAAGCGCAACCAACAGAATATCTGCAGATGTATAATAATTCGACTTTTCAGTGGTTTATATTACAAACTGCCTTTTCATGAAGAATTTTTCAGTTTACCCTTTTTTACACTCAGTAGATTCTCTATTGATTTAGTTTTGTTTATTTTCCAGATAGTGGAAGATTAAATGCCCCCAAATTAGCAAGAAACATTCATAGGTCGTGCAAAATGGGAGGATTCAACTGCATAGTAATCTAAATAGAGAATGAAGTACTCTAAGAAAACTTGAAATTGACGTTCTTTGAATTCAGTTGAGGAAGATCATGGAATAAGTATACTAAAAATTGGGAACAATTTGAATATCACATATATTCTTGTTATGAAAATTCTGCATGATTCCTACGACATCAAACTGGTTCAGACTCTACTTTCTTTTGTCGAAGATTTCTTCAAAAAAGGATGAAAGTACCCCATTTGAAACTCCATTCACAATTCCCACAATAGCCTATGGGCTGAAGAAAACCCACTTGCAATATTAAAATTCCTTCACTAGCAGTTGTCCATTAATGAGTAGGTTGGGATGTGAAGTGCTTATTTAAATTGGCCTTTACTTCGGATAGCCGGCTCTTGTAACAAACACATGACATCACCGCGAAAGAATGCAGTCGGGAATCGCCGGTAAAATTCTAGTACCGAACCGACTACATAATTCTAGAAAGGACCCTTACCGATATAAGCACGTCTTCCCGATCCAAGAGGGCAGAAAGTGAATCAAGCGGCTAAACAAGAAATTCAAATAGTGGAAATAAATTAAGCGTTGCAAGTATTGTAATAAATAAATTAGTTTGTGATTAGTGAAATATCGTTGGAAATAAATTTGTTTAACACAGTTAATTAATTAATTTGTCACAGTATGGATTATTTTCTAAGGGGTCATCCTAAAACACTGGTTTCTTATGAGAATATTAGGAACAGTCACTGTATTTTCCAAAGGAGAAGTGGATATTTTCGAAATTTGTGTGTTCTGGGTTTTTTGTATTAGCATTCCAAATATATCTAAATTATTTCAGTACTACAAATTGTTTCCTGGTAAGAAGCTGAAAAATCTATAGGCCAGATTAAACTGAAAACATAAGAGACTAACTAGATTTATTCAGAAAGGAATGAGGATTTAAAAAATTATTTTTCCTTCAAAAGAATCAGCGGTATACCATTTCTCCCTTTGAAATGGTTTAGTGCAAATTCTGTGTAGACGCCAAACGTGAAAATAAAAAAATGTACATCAGAAAATACATGTGACAAATGATGATTAGGTTAGGTTAGGTCTAAAGTGAGAAGGTCTATTCAACCCTCCACCGCAACCCGCAAGGATTTATTGTGGCTCACACCAAATGTGGAGAGGACGTAGATCTAGAAGGATCTCCATGGCCACTGACGGTGTGGTACTGATGGTACCAGTGATAGCCAGACAAGCCTGTCTCTGTAAGCCAGAGAGCTTCGCTTGGGCCATTTTCTGATTACTAACACATTTCCTAAAGAATTCGAGGGTCATTCTTAAATTAACAAAAACAATATTTTTTTTTAAACGCTACCTTCCTCCAGTTCAAAATTTGAGGCCTGATATGGAATCATTTGAAATTCATCATACTATCAGTATAGTGTGGAATCTTCCTGAACCTCTCGAGAGCATGCAAATGCAATAAAATGGCGTTGAAGTCGCTTAGATTGTTCAAATCGTTTGTAGTGAATGCCACTGTGGTACTAATACCATAGTGAATTATGCAACTGACACTACATTATTGAATTGCAAAGATATTTCTACCCCATCTATGAAAAAACAGAAAATGGGTTCATCAACTCCAGACTCGTTCTGAACCCAGGGAAAACCAAAGCTGTTTTTGACAAAATCAACAATAGTGTTGAAACATCTTAGTGTATCGCTTTGAATTTAAGAATATAAAATATAGGTTTCTATACACCTTGATTCTCTCTGTAAGAAACTAAGTCAAAAGGGTTACGGTTTGAGGAGAAGCGCAAATGTTTACAATACTAAAACATTGTAGGTACTTTTCACATTTTTTTCCCATGCTAGATAAGTCATTTGGGGCTGAAGTAGCGATTTGGACATATTTTTTTAAATTCAAAAATATGCTGCGAGTATCATTACGAAAAAAAAACACTTTTATGCATTTTTATCATTATCCATTTTTATCAATACACATTTTTGTCTCCGGTTTTTTTTAACTAGCTTTCACATATTTTTATGTATATAACTCAACTGAATTGTTATTATTATTAATTCAGGGGGATAGAGAAATAAACTATGACAGAACATAGCTTTAATGCATAACTCCACCTAAGACGGAAAAATTGAAAAAATTATTGAAAAAACGTTTACCTTCTAAAAGAAGCAAAGGCCTCTGTGCAGACACAACTTGTACTTGATATGGACTATCTGGATTTCGACGATACTTTTGTCTACCCCCTCTCACCCGATCCAGTCGAACCCCTTCTTTGAGCATTCCCGAACGCAGACACTTCCGAAATCTGCATGCTTGACATGCTTTTCTCCTTCTTTTGTTTATTTCACATTCTCCTGAAGCTGGGCATGTATATTCAATATTACCTTAAAAAAGATTTAAAGACTATATTGATGAAAAATCTTCAGTTTGGTTCAAGAATTTTTTTGAAAAAATGTTGAAAGAATGGTTTCATCATTCCATAATAAATGAAAGACTGAAGTACATATCTTTATTGTTGTGATTTTATCTCATCAAAAGGGAAAGTTGAGAAACACATTAATTAATACCAATGAGTATCTTAAAACTTTTTGAATCTATTCATTAAAAATGAAAGGTCTATAACCTAATTAGAAACACTGTGTTATGTTAATAAACTTTGTAAAGTTGCAAAAGTAGTCAAATGAAAATTATCATGTAAATAATATGTACCTTGTATTGTCCGTTTGAAAAATGCTTTACAAGCTTCACAAGAAGCTACACCGTAATGAAAACCTGAGGCATTATCACCACAAACGAGGCAGAGTCTTCGTGGGGAATCTTCCTCTTTTATTTCACCCTGAAACACATTCTAAACGTTAATAGGCAATAGGCGAGATGCACGAGACAAGCAACAACATCTAATGTTATGAATTTTTATGTTATTGCATCAAAAGCAAAAGTTTGGCTTCTTCCTCAAACACTTTGAAAAAGTATATGATAGAAAACTTCCGTATATTAGCATATGAACCTATCATAGTTCAGGCCACTTTTGGAATACAGACTTACATTATTAGTTTCTTGTGATACATACTTCGTTGGTATCCATTCCTGAGTCAGTGTGAGGTTGTGTGGTTGAGGAGCAATACTGTCGTTCCGGACTACTTGGAGATCGTAAACTTTTTTCATAGCTGCTTTCGTGAAAATCGATCTGAAAACCAATTATTAGTCAGTAAAAAGATAACTTAAGGCAAAAACTTTCAGGGAATATTTGGTTGCTATTAGACTGTAGAATCTAATAAAAATATGAGAAAGGGAACAAAAAAAACAGAATGGAGTATTATACTGTTGTATTATGCCAAAAATAAATAATAATAATAATAATACAACATAAGTGTTACACGTCTGAGTTCTTCTTAACAAATAATAACCTTAGGTAGATAGGTAGGTCTACTCGACCCTCCGCTGCAACCCGTGAAGATTAATTGTAGATCATATCTATTCAAACTTGACCAAATGAATCAAAATTTTCGATGAATGAATGCCATCACTTTATTTGGCGAGTTATCTTTTAGGTCAGCTGGCAAGAGTGGGACTGTGCCGAACGCTGAAAACCTGATAAATATTGTGACGGAGCAGGCACACAGTACGTGCTCTGCTACTAAGGCCTGAATTTCCTAGTGAACAATAATTCTCTCCAAGGTTTCTAATCCTGGTATATTTTTCTCTAGTAAGAACCTCCTAGGTTTGTTCAAGACTTAAAAATCTGAGAAGCTGCCTCTCTTGATCAGCCTTGATCTCATCTGTAAACTCAGCTCAAAAACTGCAGAACTGAGAAGCTCTTCCTAACTTGATCCTTTGGAAGGACAGGAAGGACAAGTTGGGGTCGTTTAGTTGACGTTTGCCTCCTCTGTAAACTCAGATTATTTGCAGGACCTACTCAGGTTATTTGCAGGACCTGCTCAGAGGGAGATTGTTTCCTAGTACATCAGATTATGCTTCTGCTGCTCAAGAATTTGGTGCAAGGCAGATTCATGATATATACTGCTCTCGAAGAGGCGATAAAACGTTTCTTAGTTGCACCACCTAGCTTCTTAAGTTTATTCAAGAGTTGGAGAACTAAGAAGCTCCTGTTCTTCACAGGGATGACAGTTGGAGTCTTTTTATCAACCTCCATATCCTCTGTAAACTGAGACAAAAAGCTGGAAAATTGAGCTCTCTCTTTCTTGATCTTTTGTTACAGGAAGGACAGTTGAGGTTGTTTAGTCGATGTTCATCTCCTCTAACGCCGTTCTCCACAGTCAGTCGCGAATTTCTGATATGTACCGCTCTTGGTGGAATCAAATGTACCAAGTCACTTGAACACTTTCCGTGAAAGTATCTATAGAAGAGAGACACATCTCCAACCTTTCTTCGATGTTCCAGGCTATCAAGATTGCCCGCATGATGTTCGCGTCTCCAATCAGATGGATGACTCTTTTCTGGATGGAATCCAGCAACTTCAGGGTATGTTTGGGGGCAGAGCTTCATATATGAACATCATACTCCAAAGAAGGTCTGATCTGAGCTTTATAAAGCATCAAAAGTTGCTGAGGTGTGTACAGTTTTCTGTTTTGGAACAGTGTTCCAAGTTATTGAGAAGCATCCTTTGCAATTCCAGCGACATGATTGTGCCAAGACATATTGGTGTCCATGTTAACCCCCAACAAACTTATCGAAGCAGAGAGCGGAATTGTCTGACCTGACATTATTGTATCCGGTTCGGAGACATGTATCTTCTTGGAAAAAACCGATGCTTGGGTTTTTGTGGCATTGAATTGTACCTGATTACTTTTACCCCAATTCGAAATCATTAAGATTATCATTAAGATATGCAACCTCCTGCTGCCGGTGAAGATATGCCTCCGTAGCCGATATCCTGGAATCCAAATGTAATGACGAGACAAGTGTGCTGTTGTCAGCAAAGCAATAAGTCGTTGATATACAATAAAAAGAGGGTTGAATCCCTGGAGAACACTAGCGTTGATGGTGAAAGTATTCGAGAGATATCCATCGACGGCCACTTGCATGGAACGTTCTTTCAGGCAGCCGAAGAGACATTCACAAAAATGATCCGACAAGCCATAGCATCGAAGTTTGGCCAGCAAACCCTCATGTCACACACGATCAAAGGCCTTAGAAATATTAAACGCAACAGCTCTTGATTTTCCACGTTTCTCGATTGCGTTATTCCAAATATAGGTGACATACGAAAAAAAGAAAGAAAGTCATTTTGATGATGATTGACCTGCATCTCCCCTGTAACTCCAATGGACTCACATAATGTGCATACTAATTCAAAATATGTCGCTGGATAAGACGAATGTTTGCAATTGAGTGGAATCCATGTCAGACTAGTTTTCCATTTGACTCATTGGAAGATCTGAGATGATAAATTATCAGTGTACGACCATGGTTTGAAAATAACTTGTATTGTTGTATGAAGGTTTGTGACACTCACTTCATTATTACGGTAAGTTTTTAAGAAAAATAATTTACTTCTTGAATTTTTCGGAGAACGCATTGTTGGCTAATTAAAGCACCATATCTTCTAAACGAGTGAATCGATTTCGGAAGCAAAGCAGCAATGGATAGGTGATAGAAAGTACCTTGTCTCAACGATTATTACAAAAGCATCCTTTTTATTTGAAAAATATTTCAAAACGATATCCCCACTCACGAGAATTGAAGGTTTTGTAGTGGTTAAGTCAAAACGTTTCCCCATTACAAACAAATTTGTGCTTTTGTGTTTCTGAAAGTTCACGGAGTCAAGTATCAGTATGCTGTTTGCGGTCGCACATGACGGGACTCCGAATTCAGTCCAGAACCAGAGATCCAGCTACCCTCGAAAACTTCGTGATCCAGTTGGTCAAGCCATCCCGCCAACTAACTCGACCTCAGAGTTGGGAGACAAGGATGACAGCTTCGTTCGAGTCCACCTCAGTAATCAAGGAAGAGCAAAAGTGAGTCCTTTAAATGAAATCAAAATCTTAACTGAACTTTTAAACATATCGTATTCAAATTGGATTTGCATACAAGTACATTTGCATACAAGTACATTTACCACCCCGAGCTAACTGTGGGTATGGAAAGGTGGCGCCCAACGTGGAGTAATCGATGCTGATGCAGAGATCAGCGTGTCGCAGCTTGACCGAAGTTTTATGGCTTAGAGACATATCATCGGTGAAGACGTAACAATATTCTTTGTATTCCATTTAAGAACTAAGTTCAAATCAATTTTAGTTATATAAACTTTTACTGACCTTACTGTCTGCCGATCTAATGATGGTTTCATTCAAGACCGTTGTTGTCGGCGAGTACATGCCGCTGTTCGATGGTGAGCAATCAGCGAAAGCTTCCATTTCTTTTTTGATGTGCGTGACACATCCTGTTGATACGTCGCCAGTTACTGAGTCCGTCATCATTGATACCTACAACAAATTTTATATATAGCCAGGTAAAACCTCTGGTAAGAATTTTTTTCAAGTGACTTCTGCCAGCTTCACCGTTAAGCTGGGAGAACCCAGTTAAATGGTGAAGAAAATTTCAACTTGCAATCATTTTAGGTTCCTTCAGAATGATATTGAACTGTTTTGCTCCTTATTTGAATTGAATGTTTGCACACACGGTAGAGGCGAAATTTAGGCTCATTTTGGGCTCTTAAGACACCCCATCGCCGACGAATACGGGGTCTATAAAAAATGAAGTAAATGTTCAAATTTCCCAGGCTACGTATATTCGATTAGCGATGTTTTTATTTTTTTATGTTGATACACTCGTTTCTAACATATGTTCACAGGTTTCAGTTGTTTAGCATGTTTAGTTAGTTGGTGAGATGCATAAAAGTAGGAAATGTTTTGCGTGTTCGGCAATTTTCTACTATATGAGAAAAATGGATCGAAAATTTTGCATGAAATTTTATGTAAAAATGGATCGAAAATTTTGCATGAAATTTTATGTAAAAATGGAATTGAGTGCTCAAAAACACTTAAAATGTTGACAATGACATACGGTGATTCAGAAAAATGTTTACAAGTGGTACAAGAGAAGATGTCAATGACGAAGCTCGCCCTGAAGAAAATAGTTATATAGAATCGTCGAATTTTGTATATGGGTATATGGCTATGAAATCGAAACCAAAGTCCAATCGTCCCAATGGAAGAGCCCAGGAGTGCCAAGACCGAAAAAAGCACGCCAAGTTTAATTAAATGTCATGGTTTTGCTCACTGTATTCTTCGATTTCCGTGAAGCAGTGCATCAGGAGTTCTTGCTACATGGTCGTACGGTCAATAAGGAATATTATCTTAAGTTATGCGCCGCTTACGAAAAGCAATACAAAGAAAACACCCGGTATTGTGGAAAAACAATTTATGACTTTTGCATCACGATAATGCACCTGCTTACTTGTCATTGCTTGTTCGTAATTTTTTTGAGAAAAAAAACACTGTAATCAGGCACCGTATTCACCAGATTAGGCCCCCTGCGACTTTTTTGTTTCAAAAATTGAAGAGACCTATGAAAGGATGGCGTTTTGCGGTGATTAAGCAGATACAAACCGAAGCGCTGAGAGAGCTGAAGGGCATACCAAAAAGTGCATATCAGAACTGCTTTGAGGACTGAAAAAACTCTGGTACAAGGAACTACTATGAAAGAGGCAAAATAGAGTACCATAGGCGTCCAACTTATATGTCTCTTGACTCTGTAGTTGTGGATATGTTGTTTTATGTCAATATCAGACGATGTGAAATGTAGAATAGTAAAATATAAAAGGTAAAAGGCCGGGAGCAATAGAATTGAAACATATTTCCAAAACACTGTACTACAAAATCTCAGAAATTGAATAGAATCGCAGAAATGAGCAAGTTATAAAAGTTTAGAAAACCGTTATTTGATGAAAACAATTTTAATAATTTGAAGTTCAAATTACTGGATTACATGAAATTAATTGTATTGCTTTATTAGATCAATAGATCTGCATTCACTAGCAAAACTTTAACAACAAACTTGAAAAACGCCCCCATATTCCCAACGAGAAACATATCTTTTCACAAGTCCTGGATGTGGGATCCACGGCCATAAATGGTTAGAGTGCAGAAAAACTAGATATCGATACAAGCCTGGAATAAGTGATATTGTTACGTTTTTCCCCGTGGGCTGATAAATAATTGACTACACTGAATAATCAAACTTTACTTTATTTCACTTCAAATACAACAAACCCTTCAACAAAATGGCAACTATTATTTTAATGGCTATCGCTTTACAAGATCACTTCGCGTACCGCACTGTATCTTTCACTTCACTGTGTACTTGACTGTCTGAATACGCTTGCAGCCAGCGATTAAATATCGCAATCGAACATCGTAGAATTTTTGCTGAAGTTCCATCGACATCGGTAGCATGTTTCTTGCTGTTTCTCGAGCGGCAAATAATGAAATAATTCTTTAAACGACTGTGAAGTCATAAGCATCAAAGTCGTAGTTTTCCCATGTTACTTAATCAAGAATGAAGCTATGTACACGGTCCTTGGCATTCTAGATCAATAAATAAAAATTGGAATAAAAATGATTTCATTTGTCAAATATTGACAAGTGAAGTATTGTTGGATTTAAAATGTCATTCTCCATCGAAATAAGTAAAAATATACAGGATGCCCCATTAAAAATCAAAAGTTGAGGTCGTTTCCGGTCAAACCGGAAGTACGGAATCGCTTCAAAAACACTTCACTAACTTTCTTCCCAAGCTTCTGATAATTTATCTTCTATATTCTCTGTTTCACTATCACTGTCGTCATTTAAATCAATAATAAATTTATTTCCACCATTAATATGGAAGTGTCCAATCTCCATATAGTCTTTTTCAACTAAAATTACTTTTTTAATCCTTTTCTGCCAGTCTTCTTCGGTAATATACTTCAGTACTTCGGTAAGATACTTCTTCTTCGATTAGCTCAATTACCCTTTTATCAAATTTTAGAAAATTATTTTTACGCCTCATGCTTTGTTTCAATTTTCCCCAAGTCTCGGTATGGTGTGTCCATACTTTTCAGCAATACTCTCAAGGGCACTTTTTCAAATGTTTTTGTCTGTAAAACTTCAAGTAGTTGGTTTTTGGTATAGTAATCTTCAAAATACAAACATGAACATTTAAAGGTTTTGGTAATCCTGTATCACATTGCGTCTTGCGTTGTACAGTCGAGAAAGGAATTTCGGTCAAATCCGATGTTGCTTGTAATAGTTTGTTTTCTTCGAAACCAAACTTGAGATATAGATTCTTAAATACATTGAAACATACTCTCTGTGTTTTGATATTCAAATGCATCCGAATCTCATTCATTGGTATCTCTTTTTCGAATTGTTCACTATCGCTATTGGAATCACTAGTACACTAGAAAAAGTATGCGTTGTTATCACACTCATTAATACTATTAGTACTTGTCAAAGGACGCCACGTTTTAAACAGATAACAAAAATTTCAAGTATAACTGCACCAATATCGAATTTCAACACTCAAATCCGATCAGTTCCTGAACTGAACATTGATGACACGGCACTGTGACACGGCACTGTGACACGACGGCGATAACCATCCCCGCATTCCCCATTTTCTATTCGTCACCGTAACATAACTTCAAATTTAATTTTATGACTCTTCAGCCAATTATCCAATACGAACCGCCAATTCTACAGTACACGTGGACTAGTTAGCAGCCGGTTCATTTCAATGTATTAGTTTGTTTGGCCTTCGAGAGTGTGCCAACTTTAAGTGTGCACAATATCGCTTACTTCGACTATACATACTAGTACAGAGAACGAGATTGTTAGAATGGAGGGTTAAGAAAGAAAAAAATGAGAGAAATAGCCGATAATCCTAAGGGGCTGCAGTATTTTCCGAAAAATAAAATGGTCAAGTCAGACGGTCTCTAAACAGGTCTTCAAATGTTGGAGTAACAATGCTCCCGAGCAAAAAAAACCGAGCTAATTCTCCGTACCTAGTTGATTACATTGAAAACTATAAGACAGTCCATATGGGTATCGATCCCATATATATATATATATATCAAATAACGCCGCCAAATATAAACTTTTACACAAACTAAAAAAGTGAACACGATCCATTTCCGATAAAAAAACGAAATCAAACCTGAAACATTATCTTTAATAACTGTACCGCAGCTGATGCGATATTGTTTTTCAAAGGGAAGGGAAAGGAGCGCTCAACGTTGGCCTTGCACTTGAACCGGCTACTAAACAAGATATAATCATTTGCAGTCAAGGTTGACTAGTTTCAGTGTTTGTTCCTTGCTCAGTCGGAAATTGTGATGCGCGTCCGTTTTTTTTTTCATGCTGTCGGGAACTGCTTTTTCGTCTTATTCATAATTTCGTTTCGAACTTCACTCAATTATTTCACCCGTCCGCATGTCTGAAAGAGGCTTTGCTTTTATGAATAGCGAGAAACTGTCGTGAACAAATATTTAGCGTGAGAGACTTCAGTTTTTGTATTCCACAAATTCTGTGCTTTCTATTGAATATGTAAAGACGAAATCGAGGACTGCCAAATCAGGACAATGAAGTGGATAATACATAGATTTTTTTTTTAAAGATTTTGAAGAACTGTTAAACCCCAATTCATTACACCTAGATATTCAAATGCTTACTAATTATCAAATTTTACGATAAATCACTTGACATGTCACTTTATTAATACGTTGATTACTTCGCTGTATATTAAATTCTTTTGATAAACAGCCTGAGAAAGTTTATTCTTCGTGACCTGGCATACACAGTTCTCGAGGAAGTGAAGCAGGCAAAGTCTGTCGAATTTTCAACAAAAAAGTATTTATAAAGAAAGACAAGTTTAAGGAACGTAAATACCTCTTTCGGATTTTTTAGAACAATAAACCTTTTTGAATAAATTAGTTAAAAAACTATTCTAGATGAAAATATAGACATTAACCGAAGTAATTCAACAAACAAGAAAGAAATAATTGATCAGCTTCAAATCGGTGAGGCAGTTATTCATCATTTTTAGGCACTCCTAGAAGGAGGAGTGCCTAGAAGATGACAGTACTACCAACTGTCGAAAGCGCTCGCAGATAATTAATAGAAGATATAAAGCTTCAAATTCTTTTTGTAAAATTTAATATTGAAATACTGAAAATAATAAAAAAAAATAACAAATCTACTACGACAAATGTTGATGTCCAATAGTAACTAAAACATTCTCCAAGAAATAGTTATTTAGTTGAAGGGTATTGAAAAAACATTGTTTTTTGAAGGCTATATGAATAGATATTCCTTTGAATTATACTGTCAACAGACACATCGCACCTATTAATATTATATTGAACGTAATATCATAAAAAACATCGAGCGGTTCTTTTGGCGGTATTTTCGCATTCTTTGTCGATGTTTTCGCGTTCTTTGTCGCA